GGTGTAGGATTGAAATTTGGGTCCTACTCGTTCAGCTTCGATGGTGTTGACCCGTGCAGGTGTAACGTAACCGTTGTCGGCGAATTCGTAGAAGACTTCGGCGTTGATGCTTTCGCGAGGATTTTCGTCGTCCATTGGGATGTCCACGGAGCAGTAAGGGAGAGGTCCGGCTTCCTCCGAGGCTCCCTCCACGTTCTGCTCGTCCAGGTCAGCTTCGTCTTCTGCCGAGGCAAAGGCTCGGTGCCCATGAAATCCGCCCGAGAGGTCAGGTCTGTTTTCTTCGATGTACATGAGGTGAGTTCCGAGGGTGAGGTGTTCGTAGAAAATGACATCACGTGCTGCTACTGTTTCCTTGCTGTTGATGTCGAAGATTTTCCACGCGTTGTAATGTTTTGCGATGCCCAGGTGTAGTCCCCACTGTGCGCGTTGAGAGAATCGCCCAGCTCGTGCAGATGGAGGTCGGTACTGTACCATGCAGCCGAAGACTCTCAACATTTTTGTGCTGCCCAATTTCCCTGTCCACAGCAGATGCGGTGATGCGTTGTTCGGGAGCGATGATGACGAAAGCAAGTTGTGCAGCATCACGGCGTGGTCCATTGCTTCGGGCCACTGGTGGTTGGGCAGGTGCATGCCACGTAGCAGCTTGCGCATGGTGGCTTGCAGCGTCCTGTTCATCCTTTCTGCTACGCCTTGCTGTTGGTGAGCGTAGGGAAGGGAGATGAGCCTCTTGATTCCTCTTTCTGCCAAGTACTGCTTGAACCTCTGTGAGGTGTATTCTCCTCCCCCGTCTGACTGAAAGCTTTTTAGCTTAGCTCCCGATTCTCGTTCTGCGACTGGAAGCCAGGCGACAAAGGCTTCGAAAGCCATGTCGCGACTTGGAAGGTTTAGGTGCCAGACATATCGAGTTGCGGCGTCGATGAAGGTGATGGTGTAACTGTAGGCGTTTTGTCCGGGTTCACGGTTGTATAAGATGTCGCTGTACACCTTTTCGAGAGGTGTGTATGCAGGTGCGCTTGGATTGTGATGTGAGACGAACGGCTGATGCGGTAAGTCAGCTTCAGGGCAAGTGAAGCACGTTCCACGGGCTCGTTGAAGTTCTCTGCCGTCGGTCAGTAGAAGTGAGTCTTTGTCAAGCACTCCTGCTCTTATCGTGTTGTTTAACACTGTGTTGCTTGGATGTCCCATTCTTGCGTGCCAGGTACCTTCGGTGGCACGGTGTCCGGGTGATCTTCGATACAGGTCCGAGTTGGAGTAGAAGCCGGCAGTGACGTTGGTGCTTCGGTGGACTTCTCGTGGTGCCGGTTTTAACTGTTGTGCGGGTGTCGGTGGCGAATCGTCGATGAGGATTGGTGCCGTTGAAGGACCGGCGATTGGTGTCGATGTTGCCGCTGCTGCTGATGTTGTCTCTGCTGCTGCTGATGTTGTCTCTGCTGCTGCCGATGTTTGTTGAATTGTTGCTAACGCCCTTGTTCTCTCTGTTTCAGGAATGCCAGAAGCCGCCGGGGCTGAAGTCTGGGTCAAGATCTGGAGGATGTGTCCAAGGAGCAAAACTGACGATGCCGTCGCTGTCAGCGGTGCCAAGGTCTGGTACGAAGTCAAGAACGAAGACGTTGTTCTTGAGGATCGCCTTTCCGATGTAGAGGCCGCCCTTTCCGTGGTACAGTTTGAACTCCTGGGTGGTGCTGTCTGCTTCGAGGTGAATGCCTTTCGCCATCAACTGACTGACGCTCAGTAAGTTATAGCCGAGACCTTCTGCGATTAAGACCTTGGTCATTTGTAGAATGACACTTGTTTCTCGTGACTGAAGTTGTACCACTCCTTGTCGTCGTGTGCGCAGGTTCTGGTTGTTGGCGACGGTGATGACTACTTCACGTTGGAGTTGATACTCTCGTTGTACGAAGCGTCCTGAAGAGCACATGTGCTGTCCGCAGCAACTGTCCAAGAACCATGTGTCCTTCCCGGATGGTTCACTCTGGGCGATGGCGGCGTATGTCGGGTTTGGCTGCAGTGACTCGCGGCGGGGTGTGCTGTTGTCGAGCTGTTCTTCCGGTGAGTAGTGTGGTGGTGATTCAGTGACGCAGGAGTCGGTCAGTCTTGCCATACAACTGACGATGTTCCTTGTTCCTTGTGCAGGTTGTCCCGTTGGTGTTGAGGCTTGAATCTGAGTCGTGGGGTTCGCATGCGTTGAGACAACTTGGCTGCTTGAGGGTCGAAGCTGTCGCTGTGGTGGCGTTGGCTGTTGTCGATTTGGGCAGTGCGTGCGTGGGTGCCCAGACGTCTTGCAGATGTGACAGAACGGAGGTACGGGTTTTGGTTGTTGTCGGTTGTTGTTGTTGTTGTAGCGTCGCTGAGTGTGGAACGCGAATTCCGGTACTGATGTCTTTCTCTTGTGTCGTTCTTCTTGCAGGTCCATGTCTTGCTGCTCAGCGTGTATTTCGGCGCAGAGCGCTGCTTCAGAGATTCTTCCGTGGGCTCGGAGAATGGCCTTTGTTGCGCGCCATTGAGGACCGAGGCCGCCGATGATGACTGTCACGAAGGCGTCTTCAGAGATTGACCCTCCGCATCGAAGAAGCTTGTCGCGCAGTTCGCGACATCGGCTGACATATGCCATTCCTTTTTCGCCTGGTTTCATTTCGACCGTTGTCAGTTGCGCCATTAGCCGACTTTGACTGACGCTATCTGTTGCTTGATACAGGTCCTTCAGGTGCTTGTACGCGAGTTCCGCGGAGTTGCCGAATCCCCGGTAAGACCGTATGTTCTGCTGCTGAGTTGGGGTGATATTTCTCAGTAGGATCGTGTACGCCATCATCGACTGATATGTGTACTGCTGCTTCTCATACTGTGTGCCGTTTGTTGGGTATGGCAGGGACCCGTCGAAGAAGCCAAGTATCTGCGCGCCTTCCATCATCAGCTCGAATTCGAACGACCAGGTAAAGAAGTCCTTTCCGTCGAAGGGCCTTGACGTCTGCAGTTTCAAGACGTGCGCAAATTGCGACTGAACTTGTAGTGCATCCAGTTGTTTTTCTTGTCCAGATGGAGCTTGCGGGTGCGGCATGAAGCTGATGGACCCGCGTTCGTACGGAGCAAAGGTAGGTTGTTGCTGATTCCCGCGCGCATATGATGAACCATCAAGACTCATTGGAGTCACGTTGTTGTTGTTGCTGTTGTTTGACTGCGCAGGTGCCGACTGCTGGTGTTGCTCGTAAAACGACATGAAGGAGAAGAACTTCTCCATCATGCTCTGGTCGAAGTTGGCAGGCTGGCTGGCTGAAGGCGCTGCTGGTCCCGTTGCGGTTCCTTCCTCTGTCTGTAGGCCAGAGGCAGGAGGTGGGGTAGGAGTAGTCCCGGGAGAACCATTAGAGGAACTCCTCTCCTTGTATGTTGCCATGTCGTCTGTTGATGATTTGACAGTAGTTGAATTTCCCCTGATAGCTCTCATACCATGTTGGGCTGAGAAAAGCCCTTAGGATCTTTTGCAGGGGTAAATTCGGGGTAGGACAATTGTAATAGCGGAAGCGTTTAATGAAGAAGTTGTGAACCACCTTGCACTAGTGTGTGAGGGCAAAGTAAGTTGATTAAAGCAAAGAGATACAAGCATTTATATATGAGTACAAGGAATATGAAAGGATACAGTTGTAACTACTTTACTGTTGCTGTTGCGGTTCGATACAGTGACGACTCGGGCAACTGCTCTGTAGCGAGTCAGTTGTGTGTCCTTGCTGTCGCGCTGTATTTGTCAGGTCAAAGGTCGCTGACCTTTGACTTTCGCGTAACCTCCAGCAACCTTTCAACCTCCGAGGGTTGACTCGCCGATGTGCCTCGATATGGTTTGCTTCGCTTCTGGTGCGATGTTTCGACACGACAGAGGCGCTTAGGATTTACTGTTTCCAACAGGTAGGATGAGGGTGGAGGAGGAACGGGGATGGAAGAGGAGGGAAGAGGTGGGAAGATGATGGAGGAAGTGGGAAGAGGAGGGAGGCACAGTGGAGTATAGTTGCAAGGCATGTTTCAACAGTGGCCGCCTCAACTGCCATTCCTTGCCACGACAAGACGTGTCATGACACACTACATCACCACGAGGCCACCCCATACCATACCACTGTCGCGCAGTATGCTGTAATTTTTTTTGTTTGTCACTAAAATTCGGTTAAGATGTGTTGTGTTGTGATACTTCCAGCATAGGGTAAGGCCTCTTTGGTCTGCTCTGATTTTTTAGGGTCATACAGTAGTGAAGGTGTCAGGTACTGTTTCCAGTTGGGCCAAGTTGTCTGCTATGTGTTAGAGGGGTGTTTACTGTTCATTCCGAACAGTACTTTCCAAGTCACCCTTATCCTTATCTTCTCCGATTCTTTAGTGCCACGTGGCACTCTACTTTTCTTGCACTACAATTCTTGGTCCCACAATCCACTTTCCAACCTTGTTTCTTGCATGCTATATAAACTTTCCTTGTACTTGGCATTATCAACCAATTCTCATTCAACTCTTCTTCAATTACTCAGTAACTTCTTCGCCTATTTCGCCAATAGTTCTTTCGCCAAAGTCGCTACGCTTCATCTTCGACTTAGTCGACCTCGCTAATTCTTTAGCGGACTTAGGCCAGCGGGCCTAACATATGCATCATCGGTCAATGTAAAACAATGTGGACAAGTTGGCAGATACATACATATGAATTAATAGTAGTATTTCCAGTGCATACTTATTGGTGATTGTTCTGAAAACTGACTTCAGTAACACAATGATTCATCAACACAAGGCACACAAAATTTACTGACGCCCACCACCTGAGGCAACACACATCCGCCTGGCACATACCAGAAACTGTATCGCATGCACCGTCTTGGGCGACAGCACATCTGAAACTGCATATTCACAAGCCCTAAACCACAGAGCAATATGTAGGTACAGCTCTCATTCATTAATGCTAGCACTGCTTCATGCAGGGTAACTACCACTACGATACGCAGGTTTTAGTCTTTTTGAATGGCACACTCGCTGTGTAACTATCCAACGCGGAAGGAGGAAAGGATTTGCTTGATGTCACTCGAGTATTTCTTCCATTGCCGGCCTGGTGGGAGCAGAGAAGAAAGGGGGGTGGGAGGAGAGAGTGGAGAGCAGGGTTGAAGCATTGTAAGCACGCAAAGGAGCGATTTGCTTGATGTCACTCTAGTATTTCTTCCATTGCCGGCCTGGTGGGAGCACAGAAGAAAGGGGGGTGGGGCAGAGGGTGGAAAGAAGAGCGCTGAGAAGAGGGTGGGGAGGAGTGGGTGCATAGAAAGGGGTGGGAGAAGAGCAAGCAGAGCACACAACCCCACACCCTCACAGCACTCACCAGACGAGGCAATGCCCACTGATGTAAATGCGATTGCCAGCAGCAGCAGAGTTATGGGATACGGTGAATCAAAGCTCCATTCAACCTTCACAGACCCCCCTTCACAGCACTCACCAGACACGGCAATGCCCGTTGATGCACATGCGATTGCCAGCAGCAGAAGAGTTCTCAGACGCAGTGAAAGTCTGACTTTAGAGGCGCCTCAAAAGTCGTCTCTCTACCCACAAGTTTTTAGTTGATGTGCACATGCGATTGCCAGCAGCACCAGAGTTATGACATGAATTGAATCAAAGCTACATTCAACCTCACAGAACCCCTTCATACTCTGGGCGTGGACCACATTTGTTCAAGACGCTGCTCAAGCTTCGAATGTTCAAGACTACCGTACTGCACCATGTAAAAAAGTAACGAACAAAATTATCAGCCGTTTTCAACCCATGTATTTTCTTGAACCGCCTGTTCAAGAAGACGTCTTGAACAATTGTGGGCAACGTCCTCAACACTCCCCTCACAGCACTCACCAGACGCAGCAATGCCCAAAAGAGGCACATCTGGTTACCACTGACAGGGCCTATCGACTCAGACAGTTTGGAATGACCAAACCCGACAACTGGACACTCACCAGACGCGGAAACGCCCATGATGTACATGCGATTCCCAGCAGCAGTGGCAGACACGAGAATATGCGGATCCACGTCATACTCATAGTACGTCCGGCCGCCCTTCGACACCACCTTTGTGCTGTTCACGCGCCCCTCCACGTTCTCGCCCGTGATTTCCGGGCCGAAGGCTGTGATCACGCGCTCCGGGTCGCCCACGCTCTCGATTTGCACGTCGTCGCCCAGCCCGTCGGCGAATCGCAGCACGGGCGCGACGACGATGAACAGCTTGCCCTGCTGCTTGCTCGCGAATCGCAGGTCGATCTCCGTGCCGCCCAGATCCGCAATCGACACGGGCGTCTGGTGGGAGCAATCAGGAGAGATTGAGCGCGGTGGGGAGTGGTTGGAAAGGGGGAAGAGTAAGCAGCTGCTCGGAAAATGTCTCCAGGAGAAGCTGCACCTGTCCTCGCGCCGTGTTTCTCGCTGTGTTGACGAAACTGAATCGTTTTGATATAGGTTTGACTTGGTGTCTTTTCACTCCGCGTGCTCTGTGATTTTTGGCCACTCCGAGGGTTAATTCCAAAATTCGAATTGACACAGCTTGCAGATTCAGGCGAGTTTTCGCGCGTACCTCCTCCCATGTGTCAGGCACGGTGAAGCTGTACGATCTGCCAGAGTCCCGAAGCAATTACAGAAACAGATATAACGCGTATCTTTTCAGCCAGTGAGCGCACCTCCTCCCAGGTGTCAGGCACGGTGAAGCTGTACGGGATGAGCTCGCTCCATCCCACGCCGTGCCCGCCGGATTTGCTCGCCGGCCGCTTGTACGTGCGCCAGCCTGACACGGCACGCCACACATGCAGACAGAAGCGGTCGGACTGAGTGAGAGAACACACGGGGCCTTAAAGTAGCGTCTCTACGATTTTTTGTAACCAGAAACGGACATAGACGGAGTTTTGATCACGCATTACTTAATCAAAAGTCTTGATGAGCAAATCGGAGAATACGTGTGAAGTAACGAAGAAGACTGTGTTACCGTCTTCGTCGGGTTCGGAGAGCCCTGGAACGCGACCGGCGACGGCGGTGGTGGGAATGATTGCATTCGCTGGGCCGGCGGCGAGAGAGGCGGCGAGAGCAGCCATTGCCGGGAGCGCTACAACCGCGCGGCGGGTGACTGGTGTCACGGCTGTAGCGGGAATCACGGCGGGAATGGCGGACGGTGCAGCATCTTGATTGCTCGCCGCGGCTGCGACGAATGGCTTGGGCGTGGCTCGTCTCAGAGGCGAGTGCGACGAGGGGATGGCGGCGGTGCGAAGTCGGAGAGCAAGCGGGGACGACTGGGAGAGGCAAGTGAGCTCAGCCATGACTGATGGCCGACGGTGAGAGCTCTAAAATGCGGGGGATGAAGTGAACAAGGCGCACAGATAAGCTATATCTGTGTAAGTCAAACTGACAAGAAACAATCGATTATTAGAGTGGAAGGGAAGGTATTTATGTAATGAATGGGCTGGCCTTCCAAATGGCTCCTCAGACTAGAAATGGTGGTGTCAGGGGGATGGTATCTAGGCAGCTGGATTTGGAGGGAAAACTAGGACCAAGGGATTGTCGCTGCGAACTCCAGCGAACTGATCGAGGGAGCTTTGTAACTTTGATTGTAGAGTGCGATTGGGTGAGTGACGAAGGACCCCGCGAAGGCTTCCGAGATTTTGATGACGAAGCTGGTGCACTGACGGGGAGACACTTGCGCGAGCGTAATTGGATGGACGCCATCTCCGCAATGACACGCTGACGTGCCGGCACGTGGACGGAAGGGAGGGCTGCATCTGCTGACATGTCGGCCGAGTCACAAATCTCGAATCCCCATTCGATTAGGATTATACCGGGTATTGCCGCAATGCTACTCATTATTTTCCGTTATCTATTTTCCGGCCGAAACAACATCAACTCTGATGAGAAAGAGAATATGCTCATGTATACTCATCGTGTGAACATTGAAGCACCGATTTGTATGTCAAGAGGAGGAAACTATTTCGAACTGCAAATGCGCTTTCTCCATAGACTAATGACTCCAGAGCATATTGCCCTCATGACGACTTGGTAGCGGCCTCCTCTGTCCGTGGAATGATGACACCATAACCACCATGCTTCCTCTTGTACAGGATGTTGATCTCACCTGGAAGGAAAATAATGGAAAGAGAACAGACACGTACCGTATGTGGTAAGAAAACAGATACTAAGAGCGCAAATCCTAAGGGTGTGGTGAAACGGAACCTTTGCATCAGTCTGCAGATACTAGTAACAAAGTAACTCGACAACTCTCTTCCTGAATGCACACAAGCCATGCTCGTATTGGCAAGCTGCTATAGCCGCGGGTGCTCATACCCTTCAGCCCCATCTGTCCCATTCACACACCTCACCGCTCTGCCACTCACCCGACTGACCAGCTGCTCCCAAGACAGCTTGGCATGCACTCCGCCGCACACTCATCCCACCTTCCCACCATCCTATTTCCCCATCCTTCACCAGCCACCCGGCCCTCCTGGCCCTCTCCTCCCTGCGCCACCCACTTGACTCCCCATTGCGGAACGCACAGAGGCCATGGTCCACGTTCACCAGCTGCTGCAGCCAAGACAACTTGCCATACCCTCCGCTCCACACGCTCCTATTGGCCTCCTCCCCACACTCCCTCTGCCACTCACCCGCACCCTCACCCTTCCTTTGCCACCCACTCACCCCCCCCCCCTCCCTCCCCCTTGTGCCATTGACCATCAACCATTCCCCACGTGCACCACTCACCCGACTCGCCGTTGCGGAAGGGGAACAAGTCGTGGTCCACTTTCACCAGCTGCTCCAACCAAGCAAGCCTGCAACCATACCTTCAGCTGCACACGCTCCTTTGCCCTCAACCCACTCTGCCACTCACCCGAGTCGCCGTTGCAGAAGGCGCAGAAGTCATGGTCCACACCCGCAACCACACCCTACCCCAGTGACCACCATACCCCCACATGCGCCACTCACCCGACTCGCCGTTGCGGAAGGCATAGAAGTCATGGTCCACATTCACGAGCTGCTCCAGCGCCTCGTACGTGCTCATAGGGGCCATCTCGAAGTACTTGGTGCGCACCACCTGAAAGAAAGGGGAGTGGGGGGGGAGGGGGGGGAGAGAAGGAGAGGGGCACAGGAGTGCAGCAATGGGGGGGACGAATGGTCAGTTGCTCCAGCGCCTCGTACGTGCTCATGGGGGCCATCTCGAAGTACTTGGTGCGCACCACATGGTGGGAGGAAGAGGGGGCGGAAAGAGGATGGGGGGTGGGAGGGAGGGGTTGAGGGGCAGCGGGAGGGCTACAGTCAGCAGGAGTGTCTGTTGCATCAATCGGCGTTGACTAGCTTCTCCCTGGCGGAGTCTCGACCAGTTCCCGTGCAAGCCACGCGTGTACGTTACAAGGATGTACTCCTCGAGGGGACTTATGAATCGATCCAAGTCTCAGCAAGCGCGAGTTTCACCTCGTCAGGCAGGTCGCTGGTCTGGCGGTTCAGGATGGGGCTGATATCAACGGGTGTTTCCGGCAGCATCTCGCCCAGCTTCTGCGCGTGCCACACCTAAAAACCTAACACATACGTGTACGCGTTACAAGTCGTCTCACCTCGTCGGGCAGGTCGCTGGTCTGGCGGTTCACGATGGGGCTGATATCAACGGGCGTCTCGGGCAGCATCTCGCCGAGCTTCTGCGCGTGCTACGCGCCTACGCGTTACAAGCAGTCTCAGCACGCGCGAATCTCACCTCATCAGGCAAGTCGCTGGTCTGGCGGTTCAGGATGGGGCTAATGTCGACGGGCGTCTCGGGCAGCATCTCGCCCAGCTTCTGCGCGTGCCGCATCTGCCACGTGCGCCCGTGCCCCCCGTCCTTCTCCTTGATCTTGCGCAGCTTCCGCGAAACCACGTCCGACACCTTGTCGATCGCAGCGTACGCGGACTCCGCCTCTTCCTCCGCTCGCAGCACGCCGTGCTTCTTCGTGAAAATGGTAACCTGATAACCCGAGGGAGGGCAGATGAAAATGCTGAGGCGACGACGGACAGCGAAAGTGAGACGAGTTTTAAGACCGTTACAAATTCCGGTTACCAGATTCTGGTGAATCCAGCCGCTGGAGACACACCGGAACCCTAAACCTTCAGCAGTGAAATCCGTGACCAAAAGAAGTGATGAACGGAACAGGGAGAGACTCACGAAATGAAAACAGAAGCAGTGAATGGGAGAGAAATGGATGAAGCGGGGTGGCAGATACCTCGCAGCGCTGCTGGCGCGGCCCCTTGGTGTTGGAGTCGCCGCCGCGCACGGAGAGGCGCACGTCGACCTCGCGGCACAGCGCGCTGTGGTTGTGCACCGCGTGCCCCACCTTCTCCTCCACGTACGCGCGGATCGAATCCGTCAACTGCGGGGGATGTTAAAGGGGGAGCGGGGAAGGAAGAAGGAAGGGGGTTGGGGGTGGGAGAAAGGAGAGGGGAAGGGTAAAGGGAACGAAAGAGGAAAAAAGAATGGGATGGGTGAGCCGTCGCATTGCGAGCGCCATCTTCGCATCTACGTACGCTCGGATAGAATCCGTAAGCTGCGCGAGATGCGGATCGGATGCGGGGAAGAAAAATACGATGGCACGCATACCATTTCTTTAGAATCAGATTTAATCAAATTTGCAAGGCGCGTGACGCATTGATAACTGGGTGCGTTTTTACCTCAACTGGAAACACAAAATTAGAAAGTGTCGGATGTTGATATCTCTCGCGATGCCGTGCAGGCAGTTATAAGAGCAGAGAGGACTATTGGACAGCAAAAATAACGCAAAACTGATTCTCATCGTCTCAAAAACACACTGGAGAAGCCATCCTCGGCGTATTCCCGTCGTCCGTTCACGAGCGACACGCACCTCCATGTGCTTCCCTTGCACAATGAGTCGCACGGCAGCCAGCGCGCCTCCCCAAGCCATGTTCGCCATCGCGCGTCGCCCCGTTAGCTGCGTGCCGCCGATCCGCACCCGACTCGGACCCGCTGGTGCGCCTGTTTGGCATGGCGCCGCTGCGGTTTGCTTCAGAAGGGGGTTGGCGGGAGAAACGTCGGCGAATCTTCCGAGGAATGCATTGGGGAGGATGGCTGATACTGCTGGACGGGATGCGGCGATGGATTTGAGCGGTGCGAGCTTCGATGGGATGGCTGACACCGCTGCTCTCGCGACCAGAAGGCTCGACGACGCCATCGCTCCTGGCAGATTCGGTGGAGGAAAATGGGATAGGGAGAAAGGGCTCTTGTGAACAGGGGAATAAACTCCACGACGAGCTGGTTAGTGTTTCTACCTGCCTAAAATGTCAGGCTGGAGTGCTATCTCAAGAATCTGATGGGAATGGCCCAGCTGTCATCCTCAAATATGTTGAGCGTGTGGTGAACACAGTTCAGTCTCCAACGGTTCTGTCTGTTTTGGTACGTTTCAGAATGGTCTATCTATTTACATGAATGGTGGGGTAAGGTTCGAGCAAAATTCTTGTAATGGCCTATTGGAGTGCGGAAGGAGAAGGGCCTTGTGATTTGCTCCGTTGGGGGTTGCTCCGTTGTGGCGGGGAGAATGCGGGGAGGTTGCGGGAGGAGGGAATGACAAGGCCGATACATTATTGGTTGATGGGGAAGCCCTTGCGGGAGAGTTGTGCGCGCGAACCCTTGTGAGACTCACTGGCGCCACGCTGAGTGCGTTTTGGTGGGCCATTTTCAGGTGCAATCTCTACAATTGGGGAAATGTGTTCCGGTGTGATCCCGGCGCATCTTTCCAAGTCTCTGTTGCGTACTGTACACGCGGGCCGGAACAGAGCCTTGAAAAGATACGCCACTCAAATCTGTACTGGCTGAGGGAAATTGATGGGAAATCAATGCGCCACACACGATTTGTTTACCGAGGCTACCAGGAATTGCTAAGACATACCCTGAAATTATAAAACTTAAACGCTTTAGTGACCCTGGAGCATTTTTGGGAGATCAACCCTAAACACGTGAACCCCCTGGTTTTAAGGGTTGATGCCTCCGTAAGGTTTTCGTGACAAAAAAAATAAAACCCAATCGGGACGCAATCGAATCGGGAGGCATCAACCCTAAACACCAGATAGGTTCCGGTGTTTAGGGTTGATCCCTCCCGAAACTGCTTCGAGGTTCTCTAGGGGTTTTATTTTGTTTTTTTCGGGTGGCCTTAACAGCTTCGGGTAGTTTGGCCTGGCCATGCTGTATGTTTGACTTCCGTCAGGATGTGTCAGAGACAATCCGTCAGCTGAACAAGATGTGCGTGGCGAGTCTGCATAAGGTACTGTTGCGGCACGTGTGTACAGTGCCGCAACAGTGCCGTAACAGATTGGGATCGCACCTGAACACATATTCTGTACTATAGAGATTGAAAATGGCCCCGTTTTGGTAGGTGTGGCGCACCCGTTTCCCCGCACCCCAATCCGCGTGGCGGGGGCATATCGGGCCAGCAAAGTCGTGCCAGCGCTTCCCTTGCCACGTCGGTAATCCTGACGTGGGAACGTAAGAGAGGTTTGGGCCTCCGCAAGATGGGTCAGGTCAGATATGATCTGAGCTGGAGGTCTGCAAAAATCAACCTCGATAGTAAGCAGCCCAACACTCTGAAATATCAGCCCATCTTTATACATCCCTCTCGAAGTGTAAATATTGTACCCGTATTTCGGAATGCATTTGTAATTCCATGAATCTGCGTCATTTACAGGCAGATTTGGATTTCATTCGGGGAGCTTTCAGACTGGTTTTCCCGAGTCGTTCCACACAAGTCGCACGATTACGAGCGACTCCTTGCGTTACGTGGTAGTGAATCGGCAGGTTGGGGAAGAATTTGCAGGTCGAGGTCGATTGCCAACTAGACGCGCAACCCTTCTTGCCTCGCCTGACTCTCAACCATGGCGGCAACAGCAGCAGCACCAGCGGCACCTGCGCCGCCTGCAGCGGCGACGGAGCTCGTCGAGTTCCTGAATCGCTCGTGGACCGCCTTCCATGCTGTGGGTGCGTACACTGTCCAATCTATAAGGCGAATCCCCTGACTCGCTCCTGGGCCGCCATTCATGCTGTAGGTGCGTTCCTCCAATTTACACATTCTGCATCCGGGATCGTCCTAACCCTCTCTCTTTGCTCTTTCCCGCTTTTTTTTTACAACATCGTTTCCTCCAATTGACACACAGACGAGTGTCGCCAGCGGCTGCTGAAAGCGGGTTACCAGCAGCTGTCGGAACGCGAAGAGTGGCGACTGGAGCCCAGCGGAAAGTACTTCTTCACGCGCAACTACTCCACTATCGCGGCCTTCTCTATCGGGAAAAAGTGAGCGAGGGTGACTGTAAGGCGTACCGAGGGGAGGGGTAAGAGAGCTGTGGCACACCTGCTTCGACTGTGCATGCCTGAAGCTGGAAACAACCAATCACTGTCCAGGAGCACGAATCAGCAACCCTTTGTACCTCTCCACCCTCCTCCTCCCACTCCCCCACCCCACCCACCTTCCCCCCACTACTCCCGTTCACCAGGTTCAAGCCGGGAAACGCGTTCTGGATCATAGGCCCGCACACAGACAGCCCGTGCTTGAAGTTCAAGCCCAACAGCAAGGCTCACGTACCTTCCCTTCTCCAGCTTAACCCCCCCCACCACCCCCCTCCCCTCCCCCTCCCCCCTTTCCCCTCGCCCGCACACACGCACTCACACCAGGTTCAAGCCGGGAAACGCGTTCTGGATCATCGGAGCACACACGGACAGCCCGTGCCTCAAATTAAAGCCCAACAGCAAGGCGAGCAAGGCGGGGTTCCTGTCCGTGGGCGTGCAGACGTACGGAGGGGGCCTGTGGCACACGTGGTTCGACCGCGACCTTGGGATTGCCGGGAGAGTGATCCTCCGCCACGTGGAGGGGGAGGGGGAGGGGGGAGAAAAGGGAGCAGGGGGCGCAGGGGAGGGAGGTGGAGAGGGGGGGAAGGGTGGGTCGGTGGCGCAGGTGCGGTTGGAGCATCGGTTGGTGAAGATTGATCGGCCCATAATGCGCATCCCCACGCTTGCCATTCATCTGGACAGGTGGGTGTGGTCTGGTGGGGCTGCTGTCTTGGTTGGACTGGAGAGAATATGTGGGCCTTAGAGTCGACTTTCCTCTGCTGCCTTGCTGCTGCTCCACTGCTCCGCTTTTCCTTCCACTTACCTCCCTCCCACGTGCCTCCTCTGCTTACCCTGCTGCCGTCACTCACAGGGAGGTGAACACGAGTGGGTTCAAGCCCAACACTCAGACGCACCTGCTGCCTGTGCTCGCCACTGCCATCAAGGTCCGTTGCTCCGCCCCTCTCTCCACCCCTCTTCTCAACTATTCGCCACTTATCTCCTCCCCCCCTCACCCGACTGCCCTCCTCACCTCACCCCTCACCTCACCTCCTCACCTCACCTCCTCACCTCACCTCCTCACCTCACCTCCTCACCTCACCTCCTCACCTCACCTCCTCACCTCACCTCCTCACCTCACCTCCTCACCTCACCTCCTCACCTCACCTCCTCACCTCACCTCCTCACCTCACCTCCTCATCTCACCTCCTCATCTCACCTGCTCGTCTCACCTGTTCGCCTCTCATTTGCGCCTTATTGGATTTGCCTCACTGTGCTTGCCACAGGAGGAGCTGAACCGGCCAGCCCCTGCGAGCGAAAGTGGCGGCAAGGAGGGCGAGGGGAAGGAGAAAAGCAAGGGGAAGAAGGAGGAGATCGTGGAGAGGCATCACCCGCTGCTGCTGCAGGTGAGAGGTGACCCTTGAGTCGACGTGTTTTGAGACGTCTCAAAACACAGGTGAGAGGTGACCCTTGAGTCGACGTGTTTTGAGACGTCTCAAAACACAGGTGAGAGGTGACCCTTGAGTCGACGTGCTGTGAGACGTCTCAAAACACAGGTGAGGTGACCCTTGAGTCGACTCTTAAGTGAGGGTGGGGATGATGGCAAAGATGGGGAGGGCAAAGAGAAAAACAAGGGAGAAAAGGATGACCCATTGAGAGGCACCACCTCTCGCCAGCACAGATAGTCGACCAGCATAGATATCAGACATGGACCTGCACCTGTGCGCCACACGACCCAGCGACATTTTTGAGGCACCTAAAAAATCGCGTGCAATGAGGTGATTTTTAAGGCGCCTCATAAAGCACCACCTCTCGCCAGCATAGGTAGTAGACATGGACCTGCACCTGTGCGCCACACAACCCAGCGACATTGCTGCTGCATGTGTAACCTTCCCCCTCTCCACCTCTCCTCTTCCACATCACATACTGCAGCTACTGGCGTCGGAGCTGGGCTGTTCGCCATCAGCCATAGCGGATTTCGACCTGCAGCTGTGCGACACACACCCCAGCGCCATCGCGGGTGCTCTCAACGAGTTTGTCTTCTCCGGCCGTCTTGACAACCTCGCCTCCTCCTTTGCTGCCCTCCAGGTGCCGCAGCGGTATTCAATGGTATGTAACGGTATGTTGCTTGCGGTACTTGGATGTTTGGTAGGTAGTTGCTGCAGCATTGGCGCTGCACTGGTGCTCTCAACGGGTTTGTCTTCCCTGGCCGCCTTGACAACCCCGCCTCCTCCTTCGCTGCCCTCCAGGTACCGCAGGGGTACTTAACGATACTTACTGGTACCACGGTGCTTGAATGTTTGGTTGGTAGTCGCTGCAGCATCGGCCCTGCAGTGCTGCTCTGCTCTCAACGAGTTTGTCTTCCCTGGCCGCCTTGACAACCTCGCCTCCTCCTTCGCTGCTCTGCAGGTAACTTAACATCTTCTTGAACAAGTTTGCAAACTTCTAATGCAGGCTCTTTGTGTTGTGCTTTGCCTAATGCGCTCTTAAAACACTTCTTCTAATACAGGCTCTTTGTGTTGCTGTTTGACAATGAGGGGCGCAACAGCGACTCCTGATGCCCTCTTTGTTTCTGTGATTCATCATTCCTCCCGCTGTTCTTTGCTCCTGCAGGCTCTACTGGCAGTGGGAGAATGTGAGAGTGAGGAGGCGGAGGGTGGAGTGCGCATGGTGCTGCTGTTTGACAACGAGGAGTGTGGCAGCAGCTCCGCTCAGGTCGCCCTTTCACCCTCAATCCATAATTTCTCACTCCGTTCCTTGTCCCTGCAGGCCCTACTAGCGGCAGGAGAGAGTGAAAGCGAGGAGGCGGAGAGTGGAGTGCGCATGGTGTTGCTGTTCGACAACGAGGAGTGTGGCAGCAGCTCCGCTCAGGTCGCCCTTTCACCCTCAATCCATAATTTCTTGCTCCGTTACTTGTCCCTGCAGGCCCTACTAGCGGCAGGAGAGAGTGAAAGCGAGGAGGCGGAGAGTGGAGTGCGCATGGTGCTGCTGTTCGACAACGAGGAGTGTGGCAGCGACTGCTGATGGCCCGATTAATCAATCCCACCTGTTCCCCCCTCCTCCCTGCAGGCACTGCTGGCAGTGGGAGACTGTGAGAGTGAGAGTGAGGAGGCGGAGGGTGGAGTGCGCATGGTGCTACTGTTTGACAACGAAGAGTGTGGCAGCGACTCTGCTCAAGGCGCGGGTTCCCCTCTGCTGCTCGATGCCATTCGCCGGGTCAATGCCGCCTGCACTAGCAATGCTGCTGGTACATCGGAGGTGAGTGGTGAGAGAACTCACTTTTGAGAATTCTCAAAAGTGAGAACTGCGAGGGGAATGCATGAGTCGCTCCCAGTGACTCCGCTCAGGGCGCGGGTTCCCCTCTGCTGCTTGACGCCATTTGACGAGTCAATACTGCCACTGATGCCGCAGCTGCTGCTGTTGCCGCCGCCCCGTGCCGTGCCGTGTCATCCCATCCCATCCCATCCCATCCCACCGCACCCTGCCCCATCTCATCCCATGGCAGGGAGTGGTGGAGCGGTCTCTTCAGAAGAGCTTCGTGGTATCAGCAGACATGGCGCACTGCCACCACCCCAACTACCCCGTCAGTGCCCTCCCTTTCTTCTCTTGCCTCACTACGTCCCCTCGAGTTTTTTCTAACCACCTGTGAAGTCTGTTCCTGTGCATGTATCTATCAGCAGACATGGCGCACTGCCACCACCCTAACTACCCCGTCAGTGCCCTCCCTTTCTTCTCTTTCCTCTCTACCTCCCCTCGAGTTTTTTCTAACCACCTGTGAAGTCTGTTCCTGTGCATGTATCTATCAGCAGACATGGCGCACTGCCACCACCCCAACTACCCCGTCAGTACCTTCTCTAACCCCTAGCCTCCTCGCCGCCATCCCTACTCCTCCCTTTTTTGCCGAATGTATCAACAGACATGACGCACTCTCACCATCATGCTGAAGGGTATTTTTGAGAATTCTCAAAAATACCCTTTTTGCCGAATGTATCAACAGACATGACGCACTCTCACCATCTTAACTGCCCTATCAGTACACTCCCTTATAACCCCTTGTTTTCTGCCCTCCTGCCCCTCCCTCCCACATGTGAACAGGAGAGGCACGAGGAGTTGCACCAAGGCAAGATGCACAAGGGGTTGGTGATCAAGCACAAGCAGGGGACTGGTGCTGGGAAACACAAGGCCATTTTCACTTACCTGCCCGCTCACCCCACCACCACCCACTGTCCATGTGAGCAGGAGAGGCATGAGGAGCTGCATCAGCCGAAGATGCACAAGGGGTTGGTGATCAAACACAACGCCAACCAGCGCTACGCCACCACTGCTGTCTCCGCTGCTCTCTTCCGAGAAGTCGCCACATGCCACGGCATCCCTGTGCAGGTGAGCAAGAGCATCCCATGGTTTCGAGGCGCCTCAAAAAGAGCAAGGCAGGCTTCTCCAAGATTTTTTAGGCTCCTTCGAGGAGCAGGGATATCGTGTGCAGTCCCTCGTTGCTTGTTGTGTGTAAGATTCCTCATTGTTAAGTCGTCTACAAAAAAAAGTAGCGGTAGCAACTCCAACTACAAAAGTAACGCAGCGAAGGGTGACGTGGCAGGAAAGGGAAAACTAAGGGAAACGTGTTGACTTTACTTGCCGCGTTACCCCTCGATGTCTCACTCTTGCGGTTGGAATTGCTGCCATTACTGTCGCCGCTGTTTCTGTTGCTGTTGCTGTCGATGTTGCTGCTGCTCCTGTCATCTTCCCACGATGCAATCGTCCAACCAATCCGTTGCGTGAACCATTACCCTCACTTAGTCTCTTGCCTGCTTCACCCTCACCCTTCCCCCCTTCAACACTTCGTACTGGTAGTTTGTAAGGGGCAACAGCATTTCCCTGACCTCTCAAGACACGGCACCCCTCACTGGTGCCCCACTTGAATGTGCCCTTCCCCTCCCCTCGCCTCCCCACCCTCGGCCCCCCGTTTCCCGTGCCTTCCCCCGCTCTCCCTTCATCAGGGCTTTGTGGTGCGCAATGACACGGGGTGTGGCAGCACCATCGGCCCCATCCTGGCCTCGGGAGCCGGAATCCGCAGGGTGGACGTGGGTGCGCCTCAGCTGTCCAAGCGCGATGTTACTTCAAAGCCGCCTCACTCAAAACCTCTCTTTCCTCCCTGCCCCCTCTCCCTCTCCCTCTCGCAGGACTTTGTGGTGCGCAATGACACGGGGTGTGGCAGCACCATCGGGCCCATCCTCGCGTCAGGAGCCGGAATCCGCACCGTAGACGTGGGGGCACCGCAGCTGTCGATGCACAGCATTAGGGAGATGTGTGGCACGGATGACATCGGGCACATGGTCAACCACTTCACTGCGTTCTTTAGGGATTTCCCCACCTTGGATTCTCGCCTCACTGTGGACTAGAGGCGGGGAAAGGGGGGCGAGGGGTGGACGTGGGGGCGCCTCGGCTGTCCATGCACAGCATTCGCGAGATGTGTGGCACAGACGACATCAGGCACATGGTCAACCACTTCACTGCATTCTTGAGGGATTTCCCTGCCTTGGATGCTAGTCTTACCGTGGACTAGGAGCCATGTCTCATAGGCTGGTAGTGGCTGTAGACCAACCAGTACAAGATTAGTGTTGCAAGGTGGATGGGGGAGGGGGGTGCCACTGTCGATGAACAGCATCGGTAGATGTGTGGGACAGATGACATCGGGCATACCGGTACCGGTATGCTCTCAACCACTTCGCTGCATTCTCACAAGACTTTTACCGAACCCTTTGATGCTCGTCTTACTGTGGTAGCAGCAGAACAGTAGGGTGGTACCGGCAGTTGCCCTGACACTGGAGATTTTAATACGGTCCACAAAGGGATACCCCAGCCCAGACGAGTGATTATCTCACAATCAAGAGCGCAAGAGTCAAGAGGCAAACATTACAATTAAAAGTAGTGCTACGCATAGAATCTCAGTCAACACTCCAGGATCTGATCCCACCACAAGGCAAATCCTCAAGTCCCTCTGACCCAACCCAGGAGAACCATAGCACCCCTCTTATTCGAACACTTACCTCCTCCCCCACGCCTCACAAGTCTCTCACTTACCAGCAGCAGCCCTCCTAGCAGCACAGAACAGCTTGGGCACTCCCACCCACTTCACTCCACCACCAATCTACTGTGCTACCCTAACACCTCACTCCCACGTTTGGCCCTGGCAAATACCATCTTTCACTTATCAGCAGCAGCCCTCCTACTCGACCTCCTGACCAATCCACTTGCCCCCCCTGCAGTCCCACCCTTTACCCCCCCCACTCCCCCCTGCACCCGCCCTGCCTCCTCTTTTCTTAGGACTTGCCCCTGCCCCCCCTCTACCTCCTCTCTTCATAGGACTTGCTACTGTCCCTCCTCGACCTCGGTTTACAGGACTCGCCCCTCCCCTCCCCCTGCCTCCTCTCTGAACGGGACTGGCCACTGCCCCCCCTCTACCTCCTCTCTTCACAGGATTCACTCCCCCTCTTCCTCCCCTCCCTCGACGCACAGGACGGTTTTCACCGCTCTCAACCGCGCTCGCTTTCACACCTCGGCCCCTACCCCTTCTCTGCCCCCCTCCCTGCTCCTCTCTCTTCCCTTCCTCTTGCTCCTCTTCCTCTTCCTCCTCGCTTTCAAGAACAACCACATTCTCATCCTCCTCCTCTTCTGATGCAAGGTCCACCATCTCTCCCATCAGCCTCACCTCCTCCACCCCCCCACCCTCCTCCCCTTCCTCCTCTTTCCCTTCCTCCGCTTCTTCCTCCTCCACACTCACTACCGTTTTCCCCTTCCCTCCACGACCCCGCCCACGCCCTCTCAACCGCACCCCTCTCCCCCTTCCCCCTCCCCGCGCCGTTACCACATCAATCTTCCTCCTTCCTCCCACACCCCTGCCTGGCGACAGCACCCCTCCTCCGCGTGCCGCTATCACATCACTCTTCCTCCGTCCCGCGCTCCTTCCCGGTGTCTGCCTCAGCCCTCCCCCCGGGGTACCCACCATGAACCCCACATGTCGATCACCAGTCCCTCCCTTCCTCCCCCCTCTCAGGGCACTCACAAGACTGCCCCTCCCGCTTCCACTGCCCCTGCCTCTTGCACCAGTCCTCCCACTCCTTGAAGCAACACCAGCAACATCTTCCTCAGACGATGCAGCAGCAGCAGCGGCAGCAGCAGGGGTAGCAGGGGAAGCAGCTGCAGTAGCTCTCTTTGCCCGGGTCTTTCTTGACGCACCAGTAGCAGCAGGAGCGCGGGCAGGGGTCACAACCAGCTCAACCACTCCATCATCCTCATCCACCTCCTTTTCCTTCTCATCAACTCTTCCTGCTGCTGCTGCCGCTGCCGCTGCTGCTGCTGCTGCTGCTGCCGCTCCTGCTGCTGCTGCTGCTGCTGCTGCTGCCGCTCTGACGGCTGCTGACCCTGCTGCACGCGCAGTGGGAGAAACCAGTGCTGCCGTGCTGGGCGCTGCAGCACCCTGTCGTCTTGTCTGTCGCACTCCTCTCCCACCGCTTGAACTCGCACCCGCCTCAGGCGCTTCCATCTCCCCCGCACCTGCCTTTCCTGCACCCACCTTCCCTGCTCCTCCCTTTTGAGCACCAGATTCCTTTCCTGCAGGATCTGCAGTGGCTCTCCTTGCCCTTCCCACCGCCCTGCCTCGAGTGCTCTTGGTGCTGGCTACATCAACCACCTCCATTACTTCATCAGCATCGGCAGCAGCGGGAGCAGGGGAAGCAGGGAAAGCAGGGGCAGCACGGGCAGCAGGTGAAGCAGTGGCAGCAGTGGCCGCAGAGGCACAACCAGCAGCAGAAGGGGCAGTGGCAGCTGCAGCAGGGACAGGGGTAGTAACCGCACTAGGCCCTCCCCGACGCCTTCTCTTGCCCGCGCCACTCTCTTCGTCCACACCCCCCTTACTCGTTTCCGCAACCCCCCCTGTCTCTCCAGCACCCCTTTTCCTGCCCCACCTTGCTCCTGTTGCTGTTGCCTTGTCACTCTCATCTGCTGCTGCAGCAGCTGGTGCCTTAACTGCCGCTTCTGCTGCCACTGCTGCTGCTGCTGCCCCTCGTGTTGCCCTCTTTCCTGCCCCTCTCCCCCCTCCCCCTCTCCTTCCTCTTCCGCCCCTTCCACTCCCGCGCCCACCAGAAACTCCTGCTTCCACTTCCCCCAGCTCTTGAACCCCCTCCCCATCTTTCCCGGCCTCTACCGCTTCCACCTCTCCCACCACTTGCACCTCCTCCTCCTCTTCCTCTTCCACCGCCACTTCTGCTGCGGCAGCAGCAGCTGCTGCTGCTGGCTCTGTTGTTTTCTTTGCCCCTCGTGCCCTGACCCCTGCCACTCTCCCTCCTCGTCCTCCTCTCCCTCGTCCTCCCCTTCCTCTTCCTCCCCTTCCACCCCCGCGCCCACCAGAAACTCCTGCTTCCACTTCCCCCACATCCTGAACCCCCTCCCCTTCTTTCCCGGCCTCAACTGCTCGCTCATCCCCCACCACTTGCACCTCTTCCGCCTCCTCCTCTTCCTCCTCCAACGCCGTCACTCCTGCTGCCACAGTTGCTGCCGCTGCTGCTGGCTTACTTGCAGTCTTCGCTCCTCGAGACCTAATCCCTGCCCCTCTCCCCCCTTGCAGCCTCCTCCCTCGCAGCCTCCTCCCTCGTCCTCCCCTTCCCCTTCCACGCCCAAGCCCACCAGAAACTCCAGCTTCCAAGCTACCCACCTCTTGAACCACCTCCACGGCTCTTCCAACTGCTCCCTCCTCTTTCGCCTCTCCCTCCTCTCCCGCCTCTCCTTCCTCTCCCAACACTTGCACCTCTTCCTCCTCTTCTTCCTCCTCGTCCGCCACAGATGCTGCTGCAGCTGGCTCAGTTGCTTTCTTTGCTCCTCGTGCCCTCATCCCTGCTCCTCTTCCCCCGCGCCCTCTCCTTCCTCTTCCTCCCCTCCCACCACCAGGCACAGGAGACCCCACTGCCTCCACTCTCACTTCCACTTCCCTTTCCTCTTCTTCTTCTTCTTCCACCACCACCGCCATCTGTGCTGCTGCTTCCGCTGCAGCAGCAGCTATTTCTGTTGCACCTCGTGCCCTCCCAGCTCCTCTCCTCACGCGCCCTCTCAGTCCTCTTCCGCCCCTCCCACCACCAGCCGCAAGAGTCCCCACTGCTTCCACTCCCACTCCCACTCCCACTTCCACTTGCCCTTCTCGCACATCTCCCACCACTGCCACACCCTCTAAAGACATTCTCCCTCGTCCTCCCCTTCCTCCTCGTCCTCCTCGTCCTCCTCGTCCTCCCCTTCCTCCTCGTCCTCCTCTTCCTCCGCTTCCTCCCCTTCCACTACTACGCCCACCAGACCCCCCTCCTTCCACCACTCCCACTTCCACTGCCCCTTCTCGCACATCTGCCACTGCCACTCCTTGCAGGGCCCTCCTTCCCCGCACTGGTTGCACCTCACCCACCAGTACCACTGCCTCGTCCTCCTCCTTTTCCTCGTCTTCCACTTCCACAACTGCCACTTGTGCTGCTGCCGTTGCCGTTCCTGCCGCCCTTCTGCTCGCCCTTGTCGCTCGGATTGCTGGCGGTGGTGGTGCGGTAGCTGGTTCCTTCCTTGCCCTCCTGGTTCGGCCTACACCTTTAGCCTCCCCTGCACCAGCAGCACCAGGAGTACCAGCAACAGCAGGAGAACCACTCACAACAGCAGCAGCAGCAGGAGAAAGAAGAGCAACAGCAGGAGCAGCAGCAACAGCAGCAGCAGCAGCTACACGAGTCACCCTGCGCCTCTTCCCTTGAGGCTGTTCTTTCACATCTCCTCGCTTCCCTGCCCCACCTCTTCGACCTTTATTCTCCTCCACCTCTTCCACCTCCTCTCCCTCCAGTGCTCTGCGTTTTGCCCTCAGGGACCTTCCCTCTGGAGTTCCCGAGGCACCAGCAGGGCCAGTGGCAGCAGCAGGAGAAGCAGAGATTGCAGCCGCAGGAGAGGCACCAGCAGGGCCCGCAGCAAGTTTGCGTGAGCCCCTGGTCTCCCTTCCCTTGCTGTGTTCCTTCTCAGGTGCTTCTTCAGGTGATTTAGGAGGGGCCTTGGCAGGCGATGCAGACGAGGACGCACTGGTTGGTTTGGGGGCGAACCTGCTTGCCCTTCTGTAAGGTGACTTGGCAGGGGATTTGACTGGTGAGTAGGCAGGTGAATTGGCAGGGGACTTGGCAGGTGAGTTTGGAGAGGACTTGGCAGGTGATTTAGCAGGGGCTGTGGCAGGTGACTTGGCAGGTGATTTAGCAGGGGTTGTGGCAGGTGATTTGGCAGGTGATTTAGCAGGGGTTGTGGCAGGTGATTTGGCAGGTGATTTAGCAGGGGTTGTGGCAGGTGACTTGGCAGGGGTTGTGACAGGTGAGTTGGCAGGGGCTGTGGCAGGTGACTTGGCAGGTGTCGTGGCGAGTGATTCAGCAGGCAATCCTGCCGCTGCTACCAGCACAAAAGCCCCTCTCCCTCCTGCACCCATGCTCGACCGCCTGGGAGTGACTGACGACTTTCGAGGCCTCCCAGGTGTCGCCTGCGTGGGAGTGACTGACAGCCTGTCACTCACTTGTGTCCGGCGTGCTAGGGGAGTGGACACAGCAGGAGGGGCGAGCGCAGGTGGAGGGGAGGCAGCAGTAGGAGTGGGACGGGGAGGCGGAGTGGGGGAAGCTGCAAGGCGCCTGGCTTCCACTGATAGCCGCCTGGCGAGCACTCGAGGCTTTGCCGCTGCTGTGAGCGCATGGCGGGAAGACTGGTGGGCCCTGCTTCGGGAAAGAGGGGTCTGAGGGTGAAAGCACAGAGAGCAAAGGGAGGGAAGATTCTGAGGGTTAGGGGAGTTGAAGCAGCAAGGGGAGCAGGAGAAGGTGCGGGAGAGGAAGTAGTAGGAGGGGGATGAGGGGGCGGAGAGGAGCGAGATCCAAGCCTGGCTTCCGCTGACAGCCGCCTGTTGAGCACTCTGGGCTTTGCCGGTGCTGCAAGGCGTGGCGGGAGGATGGGAGGACGAGTGCCCTGCCTCGGGAAAGAGGGGTCTGAGAGTGAAAGGGATGTTTTGATTTTTTGAGAATTCTCAAAAAATCCCTGAGAATTCTCAAAAAATCCCTGCAACATAATGAAGAGAAAGGGACCGGGACGGAAGGGATGTGAGATAGGGGAGTGGAAGTAGCACAGTGTCTCACTTACTATCCCCTTCACGGCACAACGTAGTCTTTTCAATTACCCGCTTTCACCTCCACACTGCAACGCACAGTCGTCCCAATCACCCACCCTTACAGCACAACACACAGCCTTCTCAGTCACTCACTTTCACCCTCAGTGGCGTTGCTGCTGCAGCTGCTTTAGCTGCCCCTCCTGTTTTAGCCGGTGTCCTTGCTTTGCCAGGTGTTCCCGCTTCACCCGGTGCCCTCTGCCCCCCCAGCATGAGCCTCACTGGTTTCACCCCCACGCCCTCAGACACACGCCTTGAAAAACTCTTGCTCTTCCTCTTCCCCACTCCTGTTGCCGCCTGCCCCACAACTCCTGCCGCCCGCCCCATAACCCCGACACCCCCTGCCGCCCCTCTGCCGCCCCGCCTGACAGGAGTCACCCATTTCACCGCCCCTGCTCTCCTCCCTGCTCCTGCCGCCCGCCTGCCAGTCCCTGCCCCTGCATCCCCCTTATAAGCACTTCCGCTAACAGCCTTGGCAGCACCACCCTTCCCTGTGCTGCGCCCCACACTGCTACTACCCACAGACTGTCTCCCAAGGGAGCGTCTCTTAGCGGCGCTGCCCCCCTCTGCTGCTGCCTCCGCCTCTCTCTTTCTGGGTGTCAACTTGCCAGAACTGAGCCGTGGGCTCTTGGCAGGGCTCTTAGCGGCACTGCTCCCCTCTGCTGCTGCCCCAGCCTGTCTTTTTCTGGGCGTCTCCTTGTCAGAACTGAGCCGTGGGCTCTTCGCAGGGCTCAGTTCAGGGAACTTAGCAGCGCTCCTACGAGGGGTCCTAGCAGGGCTTTTAGCAGCGCTTTTAGAAGGGGTCCTGGCAGGGCTCTTGGCAGGGCTCTTAGCAGAGCTCTTCAGAGGGGTCTCAGCAGGGTTCTTGACAGGGGACTTAGCAGCACTCGTGGCAGGGCTCTTGCGAGGGGTTCTGGTGGGGCTCTTAGCAGGGGACATAGGAGGAGTCTTAGCAGGGCTCTTAGCAGCACGTTTGGCAGCCCTAGCAGGAGGCGTACTAGCAACACCCATGCGAGGGGTTCTGGCGGCGCTCTTAGCAGGGGACTTAGCAGGACTCTTAGCAGGGCTCTTAGCAGGGGACTCAGCAGGACTCTTAGCACTGTTCTTAGGAGGGGTCTTAGCAGGGCTCTTCACAAGCCCTTCAATAGGGCTTTTGGCAGCGCTTCTAGCAGCAGCAGGGCTCTTAGCTTCAGGCGTCACAACCTTCCGGCCACCACGGGCAGGGCTCTTGGTTACAGCAGTCTTGGTTACACGTGTTCTGGTTACCGCAGCTGTGGTAACCGGCGTCTTGACTCGGCGAGTCTTGGCTTTGCAGCCAGCAGTGGCAGCTCGTCGCCTTGAGACTGCCACTGGCTTTGCTGCCGGTGGTGTTGCTGCCTCTGCTGGCGTCGCTGATGGTGGCGTTGTTGCTGCTGGCGTCGCTGCTGCTGGCGTTGCTGCCTCTGGCAGCGTGGCTGCTGGCGGTATTGCTGACGGTGGTGTTGCTGGCGGCGCTCCAGAGAAGGGCGACGCCGAAGCTGAAAGCAACCCAGCGGGCGTAACCGGCGAGCCAGGTGTGATCAGCCCACCAGACGCGGTTGTTACCCCACCAGGGGTGGACGGAGTGCCAGGTAAAGCACCATCGCCCGCTGCACCTACACACTCAGCCGCTTCTCCGTCCGCTGCTGCAGCCGTGCCCACACCGCCTGCTGCCATCCGCTGCTCCGCCTCCGCTGCCTGCTCCTGCCCTTCCGCCTTCCCCTCACGTTCTCTCTCCGCCCCTCCTTCCACTCTCGCTCCTTCTCCCCCTTCCGCGGTGCCCTCTGCCCCTTTGGCGGCCCCTTCCCCCTCTTCCAACCCCGCCATGCCTTCTACGAAAACGGGCTCCCCTGATTCGCTAAAGAACGCCTCGCGCTTTTGCTGGGGCCTGGGAGAGAGAGAGAAACAGGAGAAGTACAGAAGGTATTTTATGCCATATTTCGCAATCAAATGTAACCAGCACACGAGCTCCTTCGACTCACTAAGAAACGTCTGGCGCTTCTGATGCGGCCTAGGAGGCATGAGGCATGAATTACAGAGGTACAAAAGAGTTTACGAGACTTAATAGTGTATACAAGGGCTGCTCTTTCCCACCAAGAACGCCTGGCGCTTTAAATGCGGCCGGCCTGGAAGACATGAATCGGAGAGTTACAGAGATGACAACAATTCTTTCTATCCACGCGTAAACATGCGCTACCAAATGCTTCCCAATCTCAGCTTTACATCCCACCCCATCCCATTGCATCCCATCCAACCCTCTCGTCACACCATCTCACCAGGAATCAACTTCCGCAGCAGCCGCCTTTTCCTACTCGTTGCCCGCCAGCGGAGCCCACCACCTCTCAGCACATCCCACCACATTCAATGAGTCAAATCCCATCCCATCCCTCATCCCATCCCAACCCCTCTCTCAAGTACTCACCAGGAATCAACTTCCGCAGCAGCCGCCTTTTCCTCCTCTTGCCCCACCAGCAGCGCCACCACCTCTCCCTCCTCCAAATCCTCCAAGTCCCCATCCTCGTACCGAACCTTGTACCAACCCTCCTCCCGGTCGTACTCAAACACCCGACCCAAGAACACCACGTCGCCGAACCTCTTCCGAACCAGCTTGCGCAGGTACGGCGCGGCAGAGGGAGGGAGAGGAGTGGGAGCAGGAGAAGGGGTGCGAGTGGGAGCGGCAGGAGGGGTGGGAGTGGGAGCCGTAGGACGGGTGGGAGTGGGAGCAGCAGGAAGCGGCAAGGCTAAGGGAGTAGTGATGCCGTCCGCTGCAGGTGCAGGAGTGGCGGGAGAGGCAGCGGAAGGGGAGGTGGGAGTGGCAGCGGAAGGAGAGGTGGGAGTGGCAGCGGAAGGAGAGGTGGGAGTGGCAGCGGAAGGAAGTGGCGAGGGTGAGGGAGTAGTGACGCCGTCCGCTGCAGGTGCTGGAGTGGCGAGGAAGATTGCAGGAGTGGCGAAGAGGATTGCAGGAGTGGCGGCGGGGGTGGCAGCAGAAGTGGCGGCGGGAGTGGCGGCGGGAGTGGCAGCAGAAGGGGTGGAAGATGGAGCAGCAGGAAGCGGCGAGGCTAAGGGAGTGGTGACGCCGTCCGCTGCAGGTGCAGGAGTGGCTGAGGGGGTGGCAGCAGGAGTGGCGGTGGCTGTTGCGTTCGGGGTGTCAACAGGGGTGCTGACGGCTGTAGCAGGGGTGCTGACGGTTGTCGAAGGTGTGCTGACGCCCGTCGCAGGAGTTTCGAAGTCTAAATCATCAAACGTTACAGCATCCGGAGCACTAGGCGTTGAAGCAACAGCGTCAGCGTCAGCCCCAGCAGGCGACCCGGGCGAGACGCGAGTGGCTGAGGGCGAGCGAGCGTCAGGCGGAGTGGGACGCGGCGTGCTTGGAAGGTTGCCGTTTTGATCAGCAGCATCACCGCCGCCACCTTTACCATCACAAGCGGCGGCAGCATCTCCATTGCCGACGGTCCCCCCATCTGCCTGTGCGGAGCCCTGATCCTTTCGGGAAGCTTGATCTGCCTCGGTTTCTGCTTCTGCTGCCGTTTCCTGCCGCACCTCTCCGCCGATCTCTTCGTCTTTGACCGATGTCCCCGCTTCTGCGCCCACCCTCCCGTCGCCGTCTCCCTGCCCTTGCGCCTTGCCCGGGGAAGTTCCTGCCCTTTTCCCTCTGCCCTCCGCCACCGCCTCCGGATCCGCCTCTTCCCGAACCGTACCGGGAACCGATTGTGCTTCTTCTCGTGCCGTTCCGTTGGCCCGCTCTGATGCGTCGCCAGCGTCTTTCCCAGTTTGCATCGTCCCGCCAGCACTAGCGGCGTTCGTCGCTCCGATATTCTCCTCCTCCATCGTCGCGGCCACTTGCCCGTCTCCGTCTCCTTCCCCTTCCTCGCGGCTCTGCTCCTCCTCTTTTACTTCAACGTCATTAAACAGTCCGGCTACAGGGAGTTCGTTCTCAGCAGCTGCTGCCATCCCCGTTATGGCATCATCATGTAAAACGTGCTGGTCAGAAGCTTGTACAGTGTTAATCGGCGATTCAGCTGTCATGTGGAGATCAGCAGGAGTGAATCCAGGAACGGAAGCGTCAGTCTTGTCAGTCACGTCAGCGTCAGCAGCATCAGCATCAGCGTCAGCAGCATCAGCACCAGCGTCACCATCGGTTATGTCCCAGGGATTGCCTTGGTCAGAACGATTAGGAGCGGTAGCGGCTTTGCCGTCACCAGCTACAGTAGAAACATTAACTTCGGCGCCGTCATTTGCCACGTCAGAGATATTATATCCAGTGTCGCCATTGGCTGTAACTATAGGATTGTTCCACGTGGCGCCACCTCCTAGCACGTCGTCAGGAAGAGTGGGAGTGCCGAACACGTCATCTGTTGGTAACTCGGTAACCTGGGTACCTCCAGGAAGACCGCCAGAAAGACCGCCGGGTATTATTTCCGGGAAATCAGCCGCTTTAGAGAACGAGTCTAGGCTTTGAAAATAGGGGTCCTGCTCTCCCGAGCCTTCTGGATTTTCAGACCCGCCTTCCATTATGACCCCTGCTTCGCGAATAAGAAACTCAAGTGCAGTAGTATCACGAAATATTTCGGACTAATCTTAGATTTTTTGTTTCATTAAACCGATCGCTGCCGTTAGATCAAGTAACGCATGAAGAGCGCACTAAAGAACGATCGGAGAAAGTAGAGTCCTTAAGAGAAGCAAGCGAGTCCTGCCAATGTCGTCTGTTGAGAAATTAATTCCAGAAAATGGCTTCTCAGCAGCAAGGAGCCTCTCTCTTGGGAGAGCAGCTAGCGAGCAAGCTGGTTCCCCAAGGGTATTGGCGGTCTCGTTTGGCATGCACCGGGGGTGATAGCCAGCTGGACCATCGCTAAATCATCGAATAGCTCACCGTAGTTCACATTCTTATCGAACGGACAGAACAAACGCATTTGTTTCTGCCGAACGTAAGTGCTCCGTACGTGGTGCCGAGCCTCTCAGGGGAACCAGATTTGTCAGACCTCAAGAGTTATGGCGCGAGGAAAAAAAGTTCGCTATTAAATGCTTCGACACAAAAATTGACGTAAAAAGCATCATCGCCTACAAACTACATCTGGGAAAAACCTATCCAGTTCCCACTCCCCACCATTCCACAGCTAAACCTATCCCGAACAGGAGCACCAATCGTCCAGCCTGCAAGGATTTGCGTCTCACCATCCAACGAAAATTCAAGTCGTGCTTTCTTGGATAGCTGCTGTCTTGTCACCGCCGCCTGCCACGGATGCATCTCGCGAGGGTGCTCTCCGCCACGTGTCGCAATGCGGTGAAGCAGCGCGGCACCTTGGCGGTAGGACCGTCGCTGCCCGTAGCACTGCAGCAGCAGCAACTGCGGCAGCAAAGCGGGCAGCCGAGCGGGCAGCCGAGCGGGCAGCAGAGCGGCCTCGCGGATTTCTTCGAACAAGGTCGCACGCCCGACGCGCCCGTCACCACCGGTAGGGCTCACCGCCGTTAGGGATCACCATCGGCAGCATCTACTCAACGACTCGTGGAACCTACTCCCTGTCCGTTTGTGTTTCAACGACCAGTAGGGTCTGAGGTCTGTGCGACTGACGCGATGCGTGCGGCGTGCGACGACGGGTAGCGTGCGATCGTTCGTCCGTGCACCACACCCGCTTTCGCCCCACCACGCCCTCCCGCTCCTCTCCGCCTGTCCCAATTCCCTTCGTAACGGACGGGCGGGGATGGCAGGCGTGAGAGCTGCGGCGCAAGGCATTTGAGGACCCGTTTCCACCCCACCGCACCCTCCCATACCCCTTCCCTTCGCACAGGGCGCGGGTGGCAGGCGTGGGAGCTGCGGCACAAGTCATTCGAGGATCTACACGCGCTGTGGTACGTGCTGCTCAAGGAGAAGAATCTGCTCTACTCGCAGAAGCAGATGCTGCAGTCGCAGGGCCGCCGCATGGTGCAGCCTCATCGCATCCGCCTCGTGAGTTCCCCCGCTCTCCCCCCTCCGTCCTTGCCTGCTCTCCCCGCCCTTGCCCGTTTCCCCTCACCCCATCTTGCTCCCTGCCCCATCCCCTTCGATATCCCATCCCCAGTGCTACCACATCCGTCCTGTAAGCCCCAGCCTCACCCACTCCGCATTGCCCGCTTCCCACCCTTTGCCTGGACCCTCTCTCTTTCTCGCCCTTGTCCACTGCCCGTCTCCTGTCTAAATCCTGGCCTGTCTTCCACCACCTTCCCCCCGGGCTTACCCTCACAAGATCTTGGAGAATGGCTTGGTTTTCTGTGATTTGCTGTTCCTGGTTGGTACTCATCCACTCCCGCTGTTTATAAAGACGGTAACATTTTCGCAGTGTTGTCCTTTCTTGTCGACTGTTTTTATTGGCATCAAGTCTTAAGACGACCTTCGTACATTTTTCGCTCTCTTTCTCGCCCTTGTCCACTGCCCGGCTCCTGTCTAATTCCTGGCTTGTCTTCCCACCACCTTCCACTCGGGCTTACCCCTTCACAAGATGTTGACCTTGGCTGGGTTTTCTGTGTTTTGTTGTTTCTGGGTTGTACTCATCCACTCCCATCCACTTGCAATGTTGTCCTTTCTCGTCGACTATTTGATTGGCATTAAGACCACCTTCGTACATTTTTCGCTGCATTTTGATCATTCTTTTGCCTGTGCCAATGTGCTCCTATGCCCATTCTCCATGCGGCAGGTGAAGGCATCCATGTGTAGAATAAAGCAAGTGCTGACGGAGAGAGCACTTGCTGTAGAGGACCCCGATAAGAGATGGTTCTATAAGAAGATTATTAATGACATGTAAACTTCTGCTGAGAAAACGGGTGGCCTGAATGAGAATTTACAGTAATGCAGAAATGTGTTGTTCAGAAACCTAACGATAACCGCTACAAATGACCGAGCAGTAACCAGTAGTGCGGTTGACAGGAAGAGGGAATTCTCGTTCCGCCTTCTCATGCAACCAACGCCATTCACCGCATTCCGTTTCGATCGTGCAGATGAATCGCACAACGAGCGGTCAGTGAAAATGGAACTGCGATCTGCGTATGCTTGCTTGTAATGTGCTTCGAAGCAGATCTTACGGATTCCAGCAACGCCATCGCGCTTCACGAATTTCCCGCCTCTGCTGGCTTGCGCTCGTGCTTCACTTCCTTTCCCCCCTTTTCCTCCGCTTTCCGCCTCCTCCGCCTCTTTCCGCCTCTGCCAGTGAGCGACCGCACGAACGCAGCGAAATCAGCGCGTTTCTGATCCTGGTTTGATCATCGCAACCGTCGTAGGTACGGCCGTCGACACGACGGCAATATAGAAGCCTCGCAACCAATTCTACAACCACAGCCGTCGTTCCGACGCCTCGCTGTTGCTACGATCGGCTAGCCGAGTCGCACCCAGCCTGGTCGCCGTCTCCTCTTTCCCCGCGCCGTTCCCTCGTTACCCCCGCTTTGCCTTTCCGCCGCTCCTCCCCGTCCAGCCGCCCTGCTCCCTCCGCCTCGTCCGCGCACAGGGGGAGCGCTCGATGGCGGCGCAGCGGGCGCCGCCGACTTTCCGTCTGCGCGCGTATTACGGGATCGACTTCCCGGGGAAGGTGGCGGTGCTGGTGGCGCAATCGCTGCTCTCATTCGCCCTCTCCGCAACCCTCTTTGGGCGCTACGCTGCTGCTGTGGCGCTCGTTCGGCGCCTCTGGCCGCTGCTGCCGGCGCAGGTACGCTCTCACTGGTGTTACGCGGTAACAATTCAGTCAACCACTCAGTCAGTCAAGTCAGTCAAGTCAGTCAAGTCAGTCAGGCTCTTAATTCCTTCCATTCCCCCCTCCTCCCCTCCCCTCCCCTCCCCTCCCGCATCCTCCTCCCCGTTCCCCATCCCCCTATCCTCCCCCATCCGCAGATCGCCAGTTTTCTCGTGGGTTTCTCAGCAGCCTTCGCGCTCCTCCTCGCCTTCGCCTATTCCCTCACGCTCTCCGCCAACCTCCGCACTTCCCTGCTCCTCCGCCCCCGCCTCGCCCGCCACATGCTCGCGCTCGTGCCCGCCTGGCAACCGGTCCGCACCGCTCTGGACCTGGGGAGCGGCCGTGGCGTGCTGCTAGCAAGCCTGGGGCTGCAACTACTGGAGTGTGGCGGGGAGGGCCGGGCCATTGGGTTTGATAGCTGGGAGACCAACAGCCGTGCTGGTGGTGCTGGTGGTGGTGGTAGAGGTGGGGCTGCTGGTGGCACTGGTGGGGTTAACAGCAGCAGCAGATTGGAAGTGGAACGGAGTAGAGGCTTGAAAGGTGCAGCTGCTGCTGATGCTGATGCTGGGGATGGTGGTAATGGTGGGGTCGCTGCCGGTGGGGCTGATGTTGCTAGTGCTACTGCTGACGCTGGTGGCAGTGGGAGCAGTGGGAAGCACGTGCGGCACAGAAGGGCAGATAAAGCCAAAGCAGGCCACCCAGGCAGGAATCCAGCCGGAGCCACTTCCCCTTCCCCTGCTGCTCCTGCTGTTCCAGCCAGCGGCCTAGCTGCAATCTCAGCGCCAGCAGTGGGGAGCATGGCAGGGGCGTTGAGAGCAGCAGCGAGGGAGGGCGTGGGGGCGCTCGTGACATGCAAGACAGGCGCCTTTGACCGCCTGCCCTTCCCCGATGCTTACTTCGATGTCGTTGTCTCCGCTCTTCGCCTGCATGCCATCGCTTCGGTGCGTGCCACGTGTCTGATATGCCATCATCACAGGCGCCATTGACCGCCTGCCCTTCCCTGATGAATACTTTGATGTCGTTGTCTCTGCCCTGCGCTGCGCCTGCACGCCATTGCCTCGGTACGCGCCTCCACCCACACGACTGCTTAGATAGCTCATGCCATGTCTCATGTGACATGCAACACGGCCGCCTTTAACCGCCTGCCGTTGACCGCCTGCCGTTGACCGCCTGCCTTTGGCCGCCTGCCGTTGACCGCCTGCCTTTGACCGCCTGCCTTTGGCCGCCTGCCTTTGGCCGCCTGCCGTTGACCGCCTGCCGTTGACCGCCTGCCTTTGGCCGCCTGCCGTTGACCGCCTGCCTTTGACCGCCTGCCTTTGGCCGCCTGCCTTTGGCCGCCTGCCTTTGGCCGCCTGCCTTTGGCCGCCTGCCGTTGACCGCCTGCCGTTGACCGCCTGCCTTTGGCCACCTGCCTTTGACCGCCTGCCCTTCCCTGAAGAATACTTTGATGTCGTTGTCTCTGCTCTTCACCTGCACGCCATTGCTTTGGTATGTGTTGAAGCTGGGGATAAGGGTGGTGGCAGCACTCTCACAAGCAACGGCAGGCATGTGTATGGTATGTCATGCACATGCCTGCCTCTTCAGAGATGGTTTTTGAGAATTCTCAAAAACCAACTCGTATGGCATGTCATGCACATGCCTGCCTCTTCAGAGATCCTGATTTCCTTCCCCCATCCCCCCCTGTTTCCTCCCCTCCTATCCACTCCCATGACAGGTGCTAGAAGACACAGACCCTCAAGCAGCAGAGAGGGAGAGGCAAAGGGTGCTGCAGCAGGTGGTGAGAGTGCTGAAACCAGGGGGAAGGGTGGTAGTGTGGGATGTCATGCACGTGCCTGCCTATGCAGAATATTTTAGGTCGCTAGGATGGAAGCATGTGGTTGTGACCCCCGGCCCGAATGCTTTCATGCTGCCCTCACATGTACTTTCTGCCCGGAAACCTAGATGACCTCAGGCTGTTCTGAAATGTACCGTACCCTCGCACTGTAATGCTTGTGGTGGCAGCTGCTGTTGCATTGCAATTGCAACCAAAATTGCTGAGGTATCGGATCGCCTTCAGAGAAAGAGAGGGGGCTACCGGCAGTCTTCGTTGCTGAATAGGAAGGATTGCCTTTGCCAGTAATGGTGGGTTGTTACAAGCAAGTGCGGTGAGGATAGTGAAGCAGTGAGGATAGTGAAGCAGCGCTGCCATAAAAGCACCCTAGCAGCAAGAATTGGAAATGCTCCTCCTACCTCCCTCTACCCACATCACATCACATTGGTTGCAGACATACATAATTTATTGAGGTGAGTCATCAAAATACTCGCTATTTGCAGCTCATGAGATCAGCTGGAGAGACTAGGCATGCGAAACCTAGGAAGAAGAGAGCAAGCTACAGGGCAAGGCATGCTAGGTGAGAGTCCCAAGGCCGTATGGGAAGCAGCATGAGCGGGAGGGTGGAAAGAGGGCAGTTAGAATGGTTAACAGATGGAGCAGGCAGGCAGGTTTACTGCTGAGACCGTGTCTACGCAAGAGAACTGCACACAGACAGGGGACGCACAGCGCAGAGCTGAGGTTGCCCACCCGAGACGACCCACCACCCTGCGCCATGTGTACATGATACCCCGTGCTCAGAGGAACAGAGTTTAGAAGAATCTCACTGGCCCCAGTGCCCTGCCAGTACAGTCTGTAGCTGACCCCATGCACCTTATAGTAAAGCAGTCACCACAGCCCACCGCACCACAGCCCGCCGCACCACAGCCCGCCGCACCACAGCCCGCCGCACCACAGCTCGCCTCACCACAGCCCGCCTCACAACAGCCTGCCTCGGCGTAGGCTATGCAACCGAATGAGCCATTTTCGTTACACTTACTATGACAGACTGAACCAACTCCTCTCCCTCTTACCACCCCCTTGTGGGCCAACTCAAGAATCCTCCCTCTCATCTCATCCCCGTTCTTTGACGCCTCAACAGTTCCTCTTCCTCGCCACCCTTCAGAACTCAGCAGAGCCTACCCACCTGAATGAACCGAGTTGACTTAAAAGTCAATTCCTTGACGCATACGACAGGCTGAACCAGCCCGCTTTCCCTCCTTCGCCACCCCATTGTGAGTCGGCTAAAAAATCCGCCCTCTCCTAACAGACCCCAGTTTGAGTCGACCCAAAACTCCCCCCTCTCGCGACCCCCCTTATGAGTGTTTTGAGACGTCTCAAAACACTCCTTTTTTCACGTGACTCCCCCGTCTCGCGACCCCCCTTATGAGACGCCTCAGAACTCAACACGGCCTGCCCAGCCGTATGAGCCACTTCCGATACGCATGCGACAGGCTGAACCAGCTCTCCTCCCTCTCCCCACCCCCTGCTCCACTCCCCCCTCCGCCTCTCCCCCCTCCGCCCCCCCCTTCCGCACCCCCAGCCTCAGGAATCGCCAGCTCAGGCAGCGCAGGGCGGGACGAGAAGAGCGACGCGCGGGCGGCAGCAGCAGCAGCAGCAATGGGGGACGGCAGGGGCGGGAGAGCATGAGAGGCAGGGCCGGCGTGTTTTGTCCAGAAGGCGATCTGATACCAGAGGGTGTAGGTGTTGAGCTGCTCGTGGGCGGGCAGGGTGAGCACAAGTTCATTGAATCCGGACACTAGTGCTGTTCGCTCCTCTGGGGTTAAGTCAAAGCCTAACAGCTGGTACCGCACCCCCTGCTGCTGCTGCTGCTGCTGCTGCTGCTGGTGTTGGGATTTGGCGTTTTGAGTGCTGGTAGGAACAGGTTGAGCAAGGGTGGCTGAAGGGGTTTCTCTGCTGCTACTGCTGCTCCCGTTGCCGCCGTTTCTCCCGCTGCTGCTGCCACCGCGACTGCTGACAGAAGTGCAGATTTCCAGCAGCACAGGCAACCACAGACGCACAAACGACACGCGCAGCTGCGGATTCGCTACAAGCCGCTTCGATAGCATAGCATTCATGGTTCCCACTAGTGCAGACTTCACCACGTACAGTGCCCCGGGCGGCACTGCCCCCGCTGACGCTGCTGCCGCCCCCACCCCTCCCCTTCCGCTTCCCCCTCCGCTTCCCCCTCCGCCGCCCCCTGCCTGCCCTTTCCCTGGAGTTCCAACACTGTCTAATCCCCCATCCTCCCCCTCCCCCGCCCCGCCCTCCGCGCCCCCCTCATCCTCGTTTACAGTCTCCAGCCCCTGCGTCGAGAAACTGAAGCTCTTAACGAATCCCGGACCTACCGCCTGGGCTGCCAGGAGAACCTCCGCCTCAGCAGGCTCGGCCCGAGCCTGGCGCTGCGTCAGGGAGCAGCTCTGCCGAACCTGCGAGACGAACTCGTTATCAGTGGCAAGCCACTTAAAGACCTCGTCCGCCATTGCGAATTCGAGCATCAGTCCCACGAGCCACGTCAGCGCGCCTTGCGCGCCGTATACCATCTCAAGCATCCCCTCGTCGTTCCCGCTCAGCCCCCCCCGGCCCCGCCTGCCTGCTCCTCCCCCCGCGGGCGCGGGGACGGCGCGGGGGCGTCATGCTGCGCGGCGGGGGAGGCTTCCCCGCGCGCCCCTGCGGGGGACGTGGCGGGGACAGGAAGCGGAGCGTCTCTAGGGGTGCGCGGGGACGGGCTCGGCGCTCCGCCTCCCGCGCCCCCGCCCGCTCCAGCTCCCGCCATAGCAGCCGCGGCGGCGCGCGTGCACGACGAGTTTCTGCGCTTTAACTCCCGCTGCTCCGACCAAAGACACTGTAGGAGATCGACAAACGTTTCTCTAAGAACAGCCTTCTTGGTCTTAAGACTAAGCGTCGGCTCATGGCGGTTCCGCAGAATCGCGCTCGCCGCCTCTCGGCACTCGATCGTCCCCGGAGCCACCTCTGCCGCCTTTCCGCCGCCCCTTCCCGCCCCCGCCGCCCCCCTCCCCGCGGACTCTTCCCCCTCCGCCTTCCCCTCGCCCTGGCGGCTGTCGTGAAACGCGACGGCGCGGATGAGCAGGATCCGAAGCGCGTCGGAGATGCTCTCCTCATCCCACGTGCGCACCGGCAGACGGTCCAGGATCGGCCGCGCGTCCTGCAGATGCTCCAGCTGCGATACCAGCCGTAGGATCTCCTCCAGCTCATCGTCGTTCCACGGTACAGATTCGAGATAATCCACGCACGCGCTCGTGCACATGTGAAACTGCAGCTCTGACGAAACTACTAGGGTTTCGAGAACGCGCCACACGGAGCCTAAGCACTGGATCTCATCGGGAAGCTCCTCTTCTTCTAGGTAAAACATGCGGAAGGTTGAGACGTAAGCGTCGGGGTCTGCCACGTGCCCGCTGGCCTGGATCGTGAAGGTGGTCCCCGCGGCGTCGTGCGAGATCGTCGCGCCCTGGATCGGGTCGCGCACGGCGCGCTTCGCGAGCGCGTTGAAGAAGTAGTCGCTCTGCTCGCGGAGCACGGAGGTGTGGAGATTGAGAACAGCGTGTAGCTCCCCTTTACGGTTTAAGATCTCGATGTGAATGTCGCTAGTCGGCTCGTCGTTAAATATCGGGGTAGCGGAGGCGGAGGAGGAGGACGAGAGAGCCGTGGGGAGCGGGGAAGCGAGGCCTCCCGCTCCGCCTCCGCCTGCGCCCGCCCCGCCAGCGGCCGCGGGGTTGCGGAAAGGCGGCATGCTCCGCGAGTGCGCGAGGAACTTCGCTGCCGCATCGGGCGGCTTCGACGGCGACCTCGGCGGCTGCGATTGGCCGTAGAAGTTCTTAAACATGGTGGCGGCTCGCTGGTCGCGGCTCGAAGAAGCTCCGGAAGCGCAAATAGTCGATCACGGCGTTTATTAGCTCACGGAGCAGTTTCGCGAAGAAACGTTGTTAAGTGTACCGGTTTGAGGAATAATTATCATTGGCGAAAGAACGGCGCCTCTAGAGTACGACAGGTGGTTGCCGTCTCAATGAAGCACTGTTAGACCCAAGCCAGAAATTAGGGTTACGGTTGTGATTCTGCCATTGTCGAAAAAGGGAAACTAATCAGGTCTCTTACACGTACGAAATGACTATGGAGCTGCGATCTGCGACATAACGTAGGTGAAACTCGAGCGAAAAAGGCAGGGGAAGCCGCTGGGAACTATGGAAAGGCTGCCGCAGGAGAAACAGGAATGCTGAAGTATGTACAGCTGATGCTCACACCATGCACGCGAATTTGCCTTGCGCCGGATGGATACGCTGCACCCGAGGTTGTTTCCCCAGCTTCATGCACCTACATTACAAGCGCGTCGCGTGGTTATCAACCAATAGTAACGAACATACCGAAGTCAAGCAGAAGAGACTGAAGTCAAACGAGGTAACAGATCTTGTTTATAAGCACATGCGAATCCTTCTTAGCTAGCTGCGAATTGACGAAACTTATGCGAAATGCTCGTGACAGCTTATACGCCCCCTTCATAAGGCAACCGGGAGGGGCTCAAACAGGCATCAATTGTACGGACGAGGAGGAAGATATGAGATGGGTGGTACGTACGGCAGTTTATACTCGCGTGACGACGACCAGGGCTGGTGTGCGATGATTGCTTCGCTGGGCGACTGCAATGGTGCAGACTGGCGATGCCCGGAGACACTAAAAGCGACGGCGGGTGATTTGATGTAAAGATGAGTGGTTACGGCAGTTTCTGGTGTGCGAAAAAAAAGTTCTGAGGGCGAAGAATGGCGACGGGATTGGTGCCCTTCTCGTTGCGGTGTGATATGTTTTGTACAACTAGCAAATTCATTATTACATTAAAAAACAAAACATTTGTTTCATAAAAATAATGAAGGGGCCTCTAATGTGTGACCTTTGAAAGTCACCAGCTACTTGCGAAAAGGCTGGACAGCTAGCACGGAGCGCACTGAGTGCTTGCCATCACTCCAAACAAGACTGCCAAATACAAAATTGATAGACTGCGTTACCACTTTTAATGTGACAGTGTAAGTCATCTTGGCTCCTGGTTGAATTGTGAAGGACGACGGTGACACCGTTACAGTCACTCCCTTAAGCTGAGAAACCTTTGCTGTGTATGTGCTTGCGGTTTTGGCGACATTTGTTACTGTCCGTGAAACCGTAGTAGAACCTCGTAGGTTGCTCACAGCAATATTTGGCTGGTTCAAATCATACCTGAAACAAAAGGAGGAAGAAGCATAGAATTAGCCAGACTAACTTCAGGAGATGACAAATGCAGAGGAAAGAGAAAAGGTAACTCACGGGTGGGCAAGAGGAGTCCTTTTATCCTTCGAAACTGCCCAATATGCGGAGGTCTGCTTTACATCCACTGAATCCACCGCTATAAGAAACTTCACATTCTCCAGCACTGTAGAGTCGTACACTAGCCCTGGGTCCAGGGCTTTAAACGTGTCCACATGGCCCGTGCCGTAGTCAAAGGGGTCTGCTGCTCGTAGCTGCCCGGCCGAGTATATGGGCTTGTTGCGGTTGTTTAGGGTGTACGCCGTGGTCATGAGCGCGGATTTGAGGGCAAAAGGCGACCAGTTGGGGTACTTCCCCTTGATGATTGCAGCTAGGCCGGAGATGTGTGGGCAGGACATGGATGTGCCGCTGATCATGAGGTGTGACATGGAAGCTGCAGGGACCACGCCTGAAGCAATCCCATAGGGCTCCTGGAAGGGTGACTGCGTCCACCCGGCCCACACCTCGAGCCCCGGCGCGGTGATGTCGGGCTTTAAGATGTCGTTGTACCCGAACGAGTACTTGCCGCCCTCCCTGGCGTCCAGCACGGGGTCCACGTTGGGCCCCGTGGAGGAGAAGGACGTGATGGTGGGTGCTGGCAGCTGCTTCACGTATGAGGCTGATATGGTGGCCTTTACCCTGGGAATCAAGGGGAGCAGGCAGCACGGGGCAGAGAGGGAAGAGGAGGGGAGGAGCAGCAGGGTGACATCGGGCGTGTGTTGAGCACATCGTTATGAGTGCTTGCCGCCCTCCCTGGCGTCCAGCACGGGGTCGACTTTACCCTGGGGGGGTCAATAGGAGCAGGGTAAAGGGATGAAGCAGGGTAAAGGGATGAAGCAGGGTAAAGGGATGAAGCAGGGTAAAGGGATGAAGCAGGGTAAAGGGATGAAGCAGGGTAAAGGGATGAAGCAGGGTAAAGGGATGAAGCAGGGTAAAGGGATGAAGCAGGGTAAAGGGATGAAGCAGGGTAAAGGGATGAAGCAGGGTAAAGGGATGAAGCAGGGTAAAGGGATGAAGCAGGGTAAAGGGATGAAGCAGGGTAAAGGGATGAAGCAGGGTAAAGGGATGAAGCAGGGTAAAGGGATGAAGCAGGGTAAAGGGATGAAGCAGGGTAAAGGGATGAAGCAGGGTAAAGGGATGAAGCAGGGTAAAGGGATGAAGCAGGGTAAAGGGATGAAGCAGGGTAAAGGGATGAAGCAGGGTAAAGGGATGAAGCAGGGTAAAGGGATGAAGCAGGGTAAAGGGATGAAGCAGGGGGTAAAGAGATGAAGCAGGGTAAAGAGATGAAGCAGGGTAAAGAGATGAAGCAGGGTAAAGAGATGAAGCAGGGTAAAGAGATGAAGCAGGGTAAAGGGATGAAGCAGGGTAAAGAGATGAAGCAGGGTAAAGGGATGAAGCAGGGTAAAGGGATGAAGCAGGGTAAAGGGATGAAGCAGGGTAAAGGGATGAAGCAGGGTAAAGGGATGAAGCAGGGTAAAGGGATGAAGCAGGGTAAAGGGATGAAGCAGGGTAAAGGGATGAAGCAGGGTAAAGGGATGAAGCAGGGTAAAGGGATGAAGCAGGGTAAAGGGATGAAGCAGGGTAAAGAGATGAAGCAGGGTAAAGAGATGAAGCAGGGTAAAGAGATGAAGCAGGGTAAAGAGATGAAGCAGGGTAAAGAGATGAAGCAGGGTAAAGAGATGAAGCAGGGTAAAGAGATGAAGCAGGGTAAAGAGATGAAGCAGGGTAAAGAGATGAAGCAGGGTAAAGAGATGAAGCAGGGTAAAGAGATGAAGCAGGGTAAAGAGATGAAGCAGGAGCGGGGAGCAGGGGGGAGGGGAGCAGGGGGGAGGGGAGCAGGGGGGAGGGGAGCAGGGGGGAGGGGAGCAGGGGGGAGGGGAGCAGTGAGATGCAGGTTGGGGAATGCAGCAGGAGGGGGAGAAGGAGGTGATGGGGGGCGCTGGCAGCAGCTGCTTCAAGGGAAGGGGAAGGGAAGAGATTGTGGGTTTCGAACACGTAGGAGGGGAGCAGGGCAGTGGGGCAGTTGATACGGGGTTGGTTAAACACTGGTTTGGCACGGTAGGATGGTAATGGCCTCAGCAAGTTATAACCTTCGACAAGGCAGTACGGCACGACACTGTGTCCTCACATCTTCACTGTCCCATCTTGTTCCCCTTCTTCCCCTTCCCTATTTCCCCTTCCGCTTCTTTTCTCCCCCCCATTCACTTCCACATCCCCACTGCATCGCTCCACCTCCTTCTCCCCTCACCGCCCCTCCCCATCCATCTTCCACATCTACTCCCCTTCCCCTCCATCCAGTCACCCACCCTTGCCGCAACTCACCCTGTAGAGTTTCCCAGAAGCTTCACGAGCCGCTTGCCAGTGTACCGGTCCAGGTGGCAGGCTGGGATTGGGTGAAGCACAGCCACCACCCGGTCCGCCTTATCCGCGTTGTATATGATCACACCAGCAGCGCCAGCCTTCTTAACGGTGATGCTAATAGGGAGGATATCCTCGGAACTCCACCCTCCAAACTGGGATATGCGCCGACACACCACGATCTTGCCAGAGACCTTGGCTGGGTCGAGGGTGCCTGACGCACACACACCCGCCTGGGAGGGGTTGGGGCGAGGGGGGGCGGGGGGGCGGGGGGGGGGGGGGGGGGGGGGGGGAGGGAATGGAAAGATGGAGGAAAATGAGCTCCACCCGCCAAATTGGACACGCGCCGACAGACGACTATCTACCCGGAGACCTTGGCTGGGTCGAGGGGGTTGGGGGGTTGGGATGGGTCGAGGGGGTTGGGGGGTTGGGTTGGTTGGGAGGGGGAGGAGGATGAGTCATGGGGGAATGGTGAGTGACTGCAGGAGAGGAGAGGAGAGGAGAGGAGAGGAGAGGAGAGGAGAGGAGAGGATTCAGAGATCCAACCAAGCACAGCACCGCATGTGGACAGGCAGAAGCACTCCCTATGATTCCTTTTCATTTACACCTACACACTCGCTCCGTCTCACTCCCTCCCTCCCACTCACCATCCAGGAATTTCCTCCAGCCTTCACAGCGTTCCTCCACGTGTAGTGAGGGTGTTTTTGAGACGTCTCAAAAACGCCCTCCCTCCCACTCACCATCCAGGAATTTCCTCCAGCCTTCACATGAATGAAGGGGGCGTTCCTCCCCAGAATCAGCTCCCCTTCACCCGCCCCCACCATAGACCGCCCGGAGAACTTGTCCCCAGTAACAGTGATATCTGTCATGTAGCTGCGCCCGTGGGAGCTGGCAGCATTCACCCGCCTTCCTTCGTCTCTACCCCTCACTTACCATCCAAGAGTTCCCTCCAGCCTTCACTCCGTTCCTCCCCAAAATCAGCTCCCCCTCGCCCGTCCCCACCATCGATCGCCCTGAAAACTTCTCCCCGTTGACGGTGATATCTGTCATGTAGTTGCGCCCATGGGAGCTGGCAGCAACGGTGATCATCCAGGGGGACGGGTGCCCGATGCTGCGGAAGAAGGCGCCTCCAATCGTGGTGGGGCCGCTGTTGCCTGCTGACACTGACGCCAGCACCCCTGCCTGTTGGGGGGAAAGGGGGGTTGGGGTGGGGGAGGGTGGGTTGGAGAGGGGCGTGGTGAGGGAGTGGAGGTGGAAGTGGCAGCTCGTAACGTCACGAGCTGGCAGCAACGGTGATCATCCAGGGGGACGGGACGGGTGCCCGACGCTGGTGAAGAAGGCGCTTTCGATCGCGGTGGGGCCGCTGTTGCCTGCTGACACTGACGCCAGCACGCCCGCCTGTGGGGACGGAGGAGGGGAGGGGTGCGGTGCGGGGAGTAGGGTGGGGGAGTAGGGTGGGGGAGAAGGGTGGGGGAGTAGGTTGGGGGAGTAGGGTGGGGGAGTAGGGTGGGGGAGTAGGGTGGGGGAGTAGGGTTGGGGAGTAGGGTGGGGGAGGGGTGAGCGGAGAGACGAACGCTGCTGTGACTGAGTGAGCTTTCCCGCTTTGTGGGACTGATGCAAGCCCACTCACCCTGGCGGGAGGATTGCTACCAGCCTCCACACGCTATTCACTCACCCTGGCGGCATTGAGGTAGATAATCTCATCATCATCAAAGAACAGAGGCGCCTGGCGGCCCACGGACAGGCTGATCACGTCCACCCCATCCGCCACGGCTGCGTCAACTGCCTTGAGAATGTCCGACCCGTCACAGTTGTCCCTCCCATTCTCCTCCGTCGCCCAGAATACCTTAAAAGAGGGTGTGAAATAGATGTGAGAAAAGGTAGTGACAGTGGTGATAAAACGGGACTGTGGAAGTCTGCCTAAAGAGCATGGCAAGGGGGAGCGAGGAGGGGAGGGGAGGGGAGGGGATGGGAAGGATGTGGAAAGGAAGGAGCAGGTGATGTCATGCCATGCACATGCCATGCACATGCACATGCCATGCCATGCCATGCACATGCCATGCACATGCACATGCACATGCACATGCACATGCCCATGCACATGCACATGCACATGCACATGCACATGCACATGCACATGCCCATGCACATGCACATGCACATGCACATGCCACGCCACTCCATGCCAATGCCATGAGCAACTCCTCAAGTACATGCCACGCCATGCATTAACCGCAGACTCACCTTATACATGGCCACGCGTGCACGTGGCGCCATGCCACTGGCTGTCCCAAACGAGACGCCATTCAGCTTCACTGCCACACCACTGTTGCCGCCCGCCGTGCTGCACAAGGGAGCAGGATGGAGGGGAGAGGAGAGGGGAAAGTAAAGAATAATGAGATGAAGCATTGTTGAAAGTAGAGAATAATGAGATGGAGCATTGTTGAAGGTGACCTACCAACCACGCCAATGCACCGTTATTCTCACCGTTCAGCTTCACGTCTACTCCCCCGTTGCCACCCGCCGTCCTGTGCCTCCCCACCCGCCGTCCTGTGCCTCCGCACCTGCCGTCCTGTGCCTCCGCACCTGCCGTCCTGTGCCTCCCCACCCGCCGTCCTGTGCCTCCGCACCTGCCGTCCTGTGCCTCCGCACCTGCCGTCCTGTGCCTCCCCACCCGCCGTCCTGTGCCTCCGCACCTGCCGTCCTGTGCCTCCCCACCCGCCGTCCTGTGCCTCCGCACCTGCCGTCCTGTGCCTCCCCACCCGCCGTCCTTTGCCTCCGCACCTGCCGTCCTGTGCCTCCGCACCCGCCGTCCTGTGCCTCCGCACTGCTGATTGCACCTGCTGCTGCCCGTTATTCTGTGTCCCCGTTCCCTACCTACCTTGTCGTGAGTCCCATGCCACGCCACATCCATTGCCAACTTTCTCAACTGTCCAGTCCATGATATACCCTGACGCCTTGAGCCCCTGGAAGAGGGATAGGCGCAACCCTTGCTTGCACCTGCCGCACCTCTTGCTGGCATGGTCCCTACCTGGTGGTGTGAGTCCCATGCCGGGCCACATCCCTCGCGGACTTGTAGTCAATGGTCCAGTCCATAGCATACCCTGATGCATTGAGCCCCTTGAAGAACCCCCGCGCGCCAATCAGCTTGCGTTCCGGCCAGCAACACAAGCTAAAGCCCCCCCACCCCCCTGCTGCTCTGCGCCTCGTGCCGTACCTGCTGGTGTGAGTCCCATGCAGTGAGGTCGTTTTTGAGGTCGTTTTTGAGGCGCCTCAAAAACCGCCTCAAAAACGACCTCACTGCTCTGCGCCTCATGCCTTACCTGGTCGTGTGAGTCCCATGCCCAGCCACGTCTCTTGCAGATTTATAGTCTATCGTCCAGTCCATGGTATATCCCGACGCCTTGAGCCCCTGGAAGAACCCCCGCGCGCCAATCAGCTTGCGGCTGCAGCTGGGGAAGTCTGCTGACGTCATGCACGACCCCTTCCACTGCGCTGGCACTGGGCCGTAGGGGGGGTTGACCTGGTTCGTGTGTTGGGAGGGCGGGGAGGGGGAAACGGTGAAGTGAGGGGCGGGTGAAATGAAATGAGGGTGGGAAGAGGGGAGGGTGAGATGAAGTGAGGTGGGAAGAGGGGAGGGTGAGATGAAGTGAGGGTGGGAAGAGGTGAGGGTGAGATGAGAGCACCACAGGCCGCATTCCCCTTCCCCCTTCCCCTCGTTATACTCACATCGTCACTAAAAGCAGGGTTCTCCCGCCAGACCCCAGTGTCAATCACGCCTATAATCACGTCCTCGTTTTGCTGCCCCGCGCCCTTCTGCCCCTCCCCCTTCTGCCCCTCGCCCTTCCCCTCGTTATACTCACATCGTCACTAAAAGCAGGGTTTTCCCGCCATATCCCCGTGTCGATCACGCCAATAATCACGTCCTCCCCTTGCTGCCCCGCGCCCTTCTGCCCGTTCTGGAGCGTCTCGTTGCTCCACACGCGCTTGCGCAGGTTCAGAAACGTGGGCGTGAAGGTGGTGTGCAGCTCGTACTTGGGCGCCTCTCTTACGGACCCCACTTCTGGTCGTCTCTTGAGAATCGCCACTTGTTGCGGAGTGAGCGTTGCTGCTACGCCGTTCAGAGCGGTCGTGTAACTGCGGCGATGGGAGGACGATGGAAAGGAGTTTAGCTTTAAGACGTCTCAAAAAACTCTGGAGTGAGCGTTGCTGCTACGCCGTTGAGAGCGTTTGTGTAGATGCGGCGATGGAAGGGCGATGGAAGAGCGACGGAAGCGGGACGGAAGGGCCATGGAAAGGCGATGAAAGGACGATGGTACCTACTACGACGAGACCAACCTCTCTGATCCTCCGAGCACCCTCTGTTGATCAGCCTTACCTGAACCTGTGAGCACCCTGCTACGACAAGCCGTACCTCTCTGTACCTCGCAGCACCCTGTTATGATCAGCCTTTCTTGCACGTATCGTTGAAAGCCCTGCTACGATCCGCCTCACTCACTCACCTGTAAACGTGCGCGCTGCTGTCGACCCCCGCTTCCGCCAGCACCGCGCTGTGCATGCGCACCAGGTGCGCCGCGTACGCGCGCACGTGCGGCTGCGACGCGTCGAACGCGCGTCGCAACCCGCTGGCTTCCGCCGACCCCGCGGAAGCCGCCGTGGCGATGAGCCCGTCGTCGGATTCGCCGTCTAGCGGCGCGGCGGTTGCGGGGAAGCCGAGAATTCCGCCGGTGTACGTGGCGGCGGGGGGCATGGCGCGGAAGCGGACGATGTAGACTGCGGGAGGAAGGGGGAGCAGGCGAGAGGGGGTTGGGGAGGAGGCGGAAAGAGTGAGCAAAGGGGGGAATGGGGGAGCGCAAGCGCGCGATGCAGGCTGTGTGGGGAACGCGGACGTTTGAAGGGCGCGCGGAGCGGTACATGCAGAGCGGTACATGCAGAGCGGTTTCGTTTCGTTACTCTCAGAGCCGGGTTCGAGCAGCGCGATTCGAGCGAGGGAACGAGTTCAGCATCCGAGAGAATGACTGGAAATCCCGGCAGAGCTATGAGTGTACCTGCACCGTACAACGGACACAAGAAGCGCACGTTACGTACACGCTACGGCGCACAAGCACGTGGTAGCGGGAAACGAACCTGTCTTCAGCGGCTCTCCCTTGACCGTGGTTGTCGCTCGTTGCCTCTCGCCTGCACTTGGCCGCAATCTGTCAAACGGCCTCAACGCGTCCGTCGAGGAGGATAGGACCAGCAGTGACAAGAACACCAGCGTCGACATTGACGACGATTGTCGGAAGCTTCGCGCCATGGCTACACGATGAGGTATTACTCTTCTTGGTCGTTCTGGCAACAAGTAGTTGCCGATGTCAACACTCCGCAAGAGTCGTTTTTTGCTGAGAAGTGGATCAAGAAACCGGATAAATTATCCTCCCGCTTCCCCGATGGGCAGGGGGTAGTGAGAGAAATGCGGCTGGATGATGATAGATACAATGATGGTGGAAAAACTTTCTTGCCACCATGCCAGTGCTTGAATCAATTAAATGTCTTCTTGATTGTTGAAAGCGTCGAGTACAATGATGAATCAAGTGCTTGCTGGTGCCAGTTAGGAGAAGAACAAATGTAATCTCCGTTTCAAACGAAGGGAGTGATGGCTACTAACTATCTTTCCAAGCTACTTTTCCAAAGTCACGCCAATAAAAGCACAAGCTTTGACTTGGAAATGCTCGAAGAATCAGAGCACCATCTCCGATATGTCAAGGCAAGGACCATTTGATATGAGCTCTGAAAGGGATGCGAATATATGTGCTACTGCGGGAGCGAGGGAGGAGGGGGGAGAGATGTAAGAGCAGGGTCGGCTGCGCAGCGCATCTGGCTTACTTTGCTGGGCGCGCGGGGAACACTCAGGTGAAAGACGGCTGCGCGACCGCCTACCTTGCCGGGTGCGCTGCGCGGTCAACATTCCGGGCCGCGTGGGGGGAGAGATGAAATCGGGGCTGGCCTTGCTGAGCTGGTCACCCTGGGAATTGCCACTTGCGGCGAAAAAGCGCTCTGTAGAAATGCTGTGCTGACGGAAGGGGCGCAAGGATGCCTGTGATTGGTCAACAGCGCGCCCCTTGCACCTGGTGGAAGGCGGACAGAGTCTGGGCTGGCGGAGACCTGCGCTACACCTGGTTCGGGGGGATTGGGGGAAACGGGAAGGGGTGGGGGAGTTGCAGGACAGGCAGGAAGAATTCGGTGGTTGGTTGGGCTGGAGGGGGAAGGTGGTTCGGCCTTTGGTGCTTTAAGTCATGGACACGGGGATTTGCAGCCGCGTCCGCACCGCAGCGCAAGTTTGGGTTTGTTGGGCCTGAAAATTCTGCCGAGCCGGATCCCAGTTGGGTTGAAATATTTGTACAGTACAGCCCACATCTGCCTCTCCATGGATCTACAGTTCATGTGGAGTACACAGGCGCGAGTCATCATCTCATCCCTCCCTTGCATAAACACCAAAATGCCCGGTGATTGAAATGATTGACTAGAGCGGCAAAACGTAACACAATTAAAGCCGGCAGCCCAAATTGTTCATGCTTTTAAAAGATGACTTGAGGGAGTTTTTCAGGCGTGGGCTTTGGCGAGAATTTCCAATTTCGTCTAGGTTCGTTTCTTTCGCGAGACTCAGCCAACCCTCGTTTTTCCCCCTGGTGAGTGGGTCTGTCTTCTTAAGTCCCAAATTGCAGGTGCGTGACTTTCAAAAGCTTGGACACTCCACTTCGTCAAGTCTTAAAAACTTTACTCTCGCGATCCGTAATTTGGGACGCGGGCTTTAAGATCCACACTGCAAAGTGTAATTATATATACGGTATATATAAGTGGGAGATGGATGGCAACCAGATAGAGCCTCTTGGATTGTGCTAGTTCCCCTGGTGCAAAAATGTGCGGGATGATTCGTACGACAAAATGACGTAAATATTATTATTTCTTACTTCCTTCCACTCATCCTCAACACTCTCGATTCACCATTTGTTCTTACCATTTGTCGCCACTTGCACTCTCCACTCACTCACACTTGAATCTCAACACTTATTCCCACCACGCTCTAAACACCCACTGCCACCACTCACTCTCACCACATACCACTGGTCTCACTCGCACGCACACTCCTCTCTCACCCTCCCCCATTCACTCTCGCGTATTAATGTCCCTAGTCACTCCCCAATTATTCGTACCATTCACTCTCGCCAATAACTGCTTTCACTGCTTTCACTCCTCACAGCTCGCTCTCACTGCTTTCAATTATCACTTGCTTTCACTGCTCACTCTCACAGCTCACTCCCACCGCCGCCCACTCTCGCCACTCACTCAAACCAACTCAATCTCACCACCCACTAACAGCTAACTATCCTGCTGCTCACCTTTGAACTCCTTTAAAAACCTAACTCTCACACTGAATGTCCATCTCGCCAGCCATTCACAACAAAAAACGTATTACTCAACACTCATTGTCACCCCTCACTATCACACAAACAATTGCAACTCCCTTCCACCACACAACTCTCAGCATTCATTCTCGCGACCCACCGTCCCCACTCAATCTCACCATTCACTCTCATCACTCCTACCAATTGCTGAACCCACTCACTCTCGCCACTCATTGACCCCATTCACTGTCCCCATTCACTGTCCCCATTCACTGCCCCACGAATTCTCAAACTCTGTTTCACAACAGTCCTACCAATCACTCGCTCCAGTCACTCACACCACTAGCTATGACCAATGATGCTCACCATTACCAACCACACCCTCCCACCATCTTTCCCTTCCCACTACACGACACATCTGGCCCTCGTCACACAACAGGTGGCATCAGTGCCCTAGGGCTCATCCCATGCCACCCAAATGAGCATCATGCTCTCATGCAACAGGTGGCATCAGTGCCCTAGGGCTCATCCCATGCCACCCAAATGAGCATCATGCTCTCATGCAACAGGTGGCATCAGTGCCCTAGGGCTCATCCCATGCCACCCAAATGAGCATCATGCTCTCATGCAACAGGTGGCATCAGTGCCCTAGGGCTCATCCCATGCCACCCAAATGAGCATCATGCTCTCATGCAACAGGTGGCATCAGTGCCCTAGGGCTCATCCCATGCCACCCAAATGAGCATCATGCTCTCATGCAACAGGTGGCATCAGTGCCCTAGGGCTCATCCCATGCCACCCAAATGAGCATCATGCTCTCATGCAACAGGTGGCATCAGTGCCCTAGGGCTCATCCCATGCTCCCTGACTGGAGCTCCCAGACATGAGCTACTGACTGGGGCTACTGACTGGAGCTCCCTGACTGGAGCTCCCTGACTGGAGCTCCCTGACTGGAGCTCGCTGACTGGAGCTCGCTGACTGGAGCTCGCTGACTGGAGCTCGCTGACTGGAGCTCCCCGACTGGAGCTCGCTGACTGGAGCTCGCTGACTGGAGCTCGCTGACTGGAGCTCGCTGACTGGAGCTCGCTGACTGGAGCTCGCTGACTGGAGCTCGCTGACTGGAGCTCGCTGACTGGAGCTCAATGACTGGAGCTCAATGACTGGAGCTCACTGACTGGAGCTCACTGACTGGAGCTCACTGACTGGAGCTCACTGACTGGAGCTCACTGACTGGAGCTCACTGACTGGAGCTCACTGACTGGAGCTCCCTGACTGGAGCTCACTGACTGGAGCTCACTGACTGGAGCTCACTGACTGGAGCTCACTGACTGGAGCTCACTGACTGGAGCTCACTGACTGGAGCTCACTGACTGGAGCTCACTGACTGGAGCTCACTGACTGGAGCTCACTGACTGGAGCTCACTGACTGGAGCTCACTGACTGGAGCTCACTGACTGGAGCTCACTGACTGGAGCTCACTGCCCCACTACCACACCCACTACCACCCAGCCCACCCATCCGCTCCTCACCTTACCTGCCAGCAGTAGGAGCAGCAGACAGCCCACTCCCCTTCGAAAACAGCACGCTCAGGGCCTGTGCCCTGCAGTGCGAGGTGTGGTAGTGGAAAATTGCTTCCAGCCCAAGACTCAAATCCCACCCCTGACGTAGCCAGAGCTGACGCGAACCAGAGCCGCCGGCCGGTCGGCTCTGACGGTGTCCATTAGGCCTTGAACGCCAGATCGGTTACTTGAGCACCGAGTGCCGTGCCGCGCAGATTCCACCCACTACACCCTGGATCACAAGGCACAACCCCAGAAGGTGCTGCCCCTAAGGCAGTGAACTGCCCACTCACTCCCATGCTTCCCACCCACCCACCCACCCCACACTTCATCCCCACGCCTCCTTAACTCTACCTACCTCTACCTACCGGAGCCATGCAGAGCGCCATGATGCCTTAAGCTGGTGGGAAGGGGGTGGGGGAAGGGAGGGGGGGACGAATGGAAGGAGGGGACTACACTGTAGTCCAGGCAGGGTGCTGCTGGGAGGGAAGGGAAAAGGGAGAGAGGAGGAGGTGAGTGAAAGGGGGGACTTCATTCTCCTGTCCTTGCTCCAGTGCTCCCACTCTCAGGCTGCAAAGAAGACTTGAGGGGGAGAGGGAAGAGAGGGAGGAGAGAATCAGACTACCATACCTCACCTGATACCTTACCTCACCAGTTACCGTACCATACCTGATACCAGACCTCCCCACAGCTTCAGCTAGCCTAGCCTGCCCCCTAACCCCCCACCACCAACGCTGCTACTGCTGCTGCCGCCGCTGCTTCTGCTGCTGCAACTGCTGCTGCCGGTCTGCTACTCTGCTTCCTCTGCTGCAATCTTCTCTTGTTGCCATGTGACCTGGCAGCAGGCACAAAGTGGGGAGGGGGGAGAGGGACGGGAGAGCAGGGGCAGGAGGAGCGAGTAAGTTGGCATCAAGGAAAAACTCAAGTAAACCGAAGAACACTAGAGTGGACAAAAACGAGAATGCAGAATTGAAGTGAAAAAAAAGGAGGCATCTGAGGCAGGAAGGGAAAAGTGGCTCACCTTGGTTCAGACAACCCATCCCGATACTCTCCCTTCCAATCCCAGCCGAGTAAAGTGCTGGCCCCCTCCCCTCCCACCACAGCCACCTGCACGGCCACAGGGGAGAGACGTGAGGGAGTGGCGGTGTTGACCCCCACGCCCCTCCCCTCCACCTGCAATGGCCCACAGAGAAATAGTGAGTGACTGGAGGAGAGGCGAGGGGGTGAAGGAGGAGATGCACGATCAGAAGAAGCAGAGGGGAAGGGACCACTGGTGCAACCTCAGTTACAAGCCACAGACCCAAGGGGGAAATATACCTAGGAAGGCTTAACCTGAGAGTATACCTGCTGTA